CCCTCCACCCAGTACACCTTAAGGCCAAATGGAAATACAACCCAGGGCATATTTCTCTACACCCCTGATTGGACATGAATTAAGTAATTTATTTGCTACAGTACTAGTGTTTGCAAGCAAATAAATTCTTTTTAAACCCAAGTCTGATCAATGGCCTTTCAAACCACCAATATAATTAACTATTTCCTTTAATTCATCTTAACATCAAGTAATTTGCAATTTGTGATAGAAAAACTGCATTGTGAAATAACACTAATTACCCCAGTTAAAACTGGATGTACAGAAATTTTCACCTGGCTTGCTTAACCAATCAAAGCTCATGAAACAAGCTAGATATAAGGTAAATGTTCTTATTACCTTTCTCTTTTTCTCTCCTCCCAACTCGAAGTGTTTACATCTTTTGATGGCTAGCTGTTTTCTGTATTTACAGTCTGTGCATTCTAACCTCAGTACAATCTTCCTCGTAATCTTTGCCTGAAGAACACAAAAATAAAATACACCTCCATTTTAAAAGTAAAGAAAGCAAGGAAAAAATAAACTACCCCCAGATCACAGGCACTTGGGGTATGGACCCTCCCCCCCCCCCCCTTTCCATTTTTTTTCTTTTTAAATCTGGGTTCGGGTCACCGTTTTCCTATTTTTCTATTCTAATATGCACTATATATTATCAATAATGCAACTCTTTTGTCTCTATAAGCTGTTTTAAAAAATATCGTTTTCGACTGATACATAATAAGAGAGAATGCTTGCAACTCTTTTCTCGTATTCGCCTCACCTCGCTTAAACTTCGCTAGATTATTTATCTTTAGAAACCAGAATAAAACATGGGATAAGCACATATCAATAAATTTGTTATACATTCCTCTTCCTTTTCATATTTCCTTTTAATTTTTATGTGCCCCCGATTTGTAAATATTTCGATGAAATCACCCGAATCTAGGGTGATGTCATTGACTGGGACAGCTTATAGAGACAAAAGAGTTACATAATTGATAATATGTAGTGCATATTAGAATAGAAAAATAGGAAAAAGGTGACTCGAACCCAGATTTAAAAAAAAAAATGGAAAGGGGGGGTGTTCCATACCCCAAGTGCCTGTGCCCCAGATCTGTGATTGTAAAGTAAATTTTAAGGCCATACAAAGTTAATGGTTCTCAGGCCTTTCTTCAAGAAATATGATGAGGGAGGGAGGCATTTTTTTTTTATTTTTGTTGCCCCCAAAACATGGTGAGGCAGCTTTTTACATTGTACAAAATCTCAAAAAATAATGAGGGAGGTGATTTGGTGTTTTTATTTTATTGGTTTAGCAATAAAAAGGGTCAATGAGGCACCCTTGGAAGAGATGAGGGAGGGCCTGGGAACCAAGAAATTAATTTTTTTTTTTGCCTAATGAAGAATAACTTTGATGACAGCCTGGTATTAAACGAGAAAGTGAAAAAAAAAATGGGTGAAAACAGTTCTTTCTCAACAATTTACCTCTACTAAAATGTCCATATAATAGGTGAAGAGAAATGGATTTTCCATTGAAATAAAAGCAAAAGTTGTTTTCAAAATGTAAATGCAATATATTCTCAAATCTTATACAAATGGGTGACTATTGCAAACACAGAAATAAATTTATGCCATTTTGTGACAATTATGTACATGTAAGGCATGTCCACATGTAAGGCATCTCCGTCAATGACAGTGGGAACACTATATCATTGATATCTTCAAGAATTCTTGTACATACAATTATTTCAAATTCAAAAACAAAGTGAATAGCACCAACCTTTTTTCTGAAGATGACCTTTGTTTGACCTCCAAAACCACTCTGCTTCCGGTCATATCTCCTTTTTCCTGGCAACAAAAATATCCATATTTTAACCAACTTCATTTCCTTTTCTCTAGACATTGTACTCCTTAAACCTTTCTAATAAGTTCTTCACTTGCTTTCAATGTAATGGAAAACTTTTTTTCAGCCAAGTTATATTTTATGAGACAATGACAGTAATAATGACCAATATTTTTCAAAAGCATTTCAATACTGAATCCATTATCAAAGAAATTATAAGGCCCTTCACACATCGATCTGAAGACTAATTAATGAGTAAAGTATAATTACTGATTAAAATAGGATCATTCCTAAAAAATTGTCTGTGAAAAATTAAAATTACAACTAACCCTGAGCGTAGAGGGAGGCTTTTCCGGTCTTGTACTGGGTGACTTTATGAAGGGTGTGCTTCTTGCACTTTTTACCCTTGCAGAAAGTCTTCCTTGATTTTGGTACGTTGACCTAAAAAGCAATAAATACAATAAGTACAATGTTCAATACAAAGTAATAAATTTTACAAATTTGAAAGACAGATGATTGTGTGGCCAATTTCTACTAGTTGTGCTTTTTCGATATGCTTCTCTCTTCAAAACCCCTTGGCTTATTCTATGATTTTATTAGGAAAAAAATTTCACAAAATATATGGGCCTTAAATGAAATAGTTGTCTTTTTTTACAAAATACATGTATTGTAAACTGAGCTAAAAGAATAACTAACTGCATGGGCAGGGTATAACATTAACGAAATACCCACTTCCATTCTACAAGTTTTCATAGAAATGAACCATACTACAAAGTGAAAAAAAATTGAAGCAGACTTTTGCTGGAATTCTTAAGCATTGGAGGTTTAAACGGATAGCACATTGCTATGAAATATCAACAACTTTATATTTTGTTGGATTTTTACCTTTCAGAGGTAAGAAACAAAAGTGATGGGAAATTAAATGGATGTCAAATTGAAAAGCAAAAAAAATTGAAGCAGACAGAGAGAGTCAACTACTGGTAATTCATTTCATGGCATCTTGTATTCATTAAAATAAGAGGTCAGTCCGATCAAGATTTCCCAAATGAGATTATGTGACAGTAGTCAAATATTTGAAGAGACAATACTGAATAGACCAAAATTTTACTATTTTTTTTATTCTACATACACATCTTGTTGAGATTTGTGGTGGTGGGCTATTGCTGCAAGGTCATGTGTATAACACATTAAACTGATGCAGACAGCAGTATACATTTCAGTACTTAAGATAGCAATGCTCACGATCATAGGTGGCGCTGCGGTTCGTTTATTTACGTAGCATGCCTAATATGTCCGCGTTGTGTAGATGTATTTCATATCACAATTAAGTGTTTTCGGCATTATTACTCCAAACATTTAAATGACAATGATTGGAATAAACAGAATAAAACATGATAAACAATTGGCAAAGAATTTTCCCGGGAATTTCTTAGTTTGTATAAAAAAATCGCACGTGAAAACTACTTTAGGCAAGGAATATAACATTAATACATATTTCCACTTTGATATATATATTAATTGAAAGGGATTTTATTTATTTACTTAATGCTGGTTTAAGTTTAAAAATCCATATGGTATTATCAAGGTATTTAAAAACGGCTGAGATCAAGGTATTTTCGGTAAATGAAAATTCCAACTACAACTAGTACAAGTAGTTCACACATGATGTGATCATTTATAAGTTACTAACAGTAACCTAGATGGTGGAGAATTTATAAATTTCAATTGTTCTACACAAAACACCTGTTTTATGAGGATTTCTTTGCTGTCTGATAAAAATGAATTAGCACAAATTCACTTGTAACTTTTATCTCAGTCTATATTATAAACAGTAGTTTTATAATATATTCCATACGTTAGTCTTGTAGCTTACTGTACTGTAGGCCCCTAACTATAAGAGTATTTTTACTTCTTATAATAATTATTATTATGAACAATATAGTTTGTATAATGAATAACTCAATTGTTTTGAGAAATGAAAAAAAAATCTGATTTAATTTATATAAATTCATATTATATAATTAATATTAATTATTATAATTTTAATAAAAAAATAACACATATGGAAGTTATTTCATTGTTTTAATAGTGTTATAAATGTTTTAATCATGGCATGAAAAATTTGTTTATGTCCAACATTTGAAATGTAGAAAATAAAAACATATTCATGTACACTTTCATACACACGTAAGAGAAAATGTGGGTTAAAATTCATTGGAGCACTGGCGTCTTCAATACAAAACTTTATATATTTTGTTATATTTACCTTTCAGAGGTAAGAAACAAAAGTGATGGGAAATTAAAAGGATGTCAAAAGCAAAAAAATTAACTGTAGGCCTATCAACCTAAAATCATGAAATTTATTCAATCAAAATAAGAGGGGTCACTTTTAACTCAAACATGAAACTAGTTAAATAAAAGAGACAAAAGACCAAAATATTTACTATTTTTTTATTTTCTACATAACATTAATAACTTGTGGTGGTGTTTTGTAATCAGTAATAATAGACAATGTCGTGAATATATAACACATTTCAAACTGATTTGATACTTTAATTTTCATGAGCATTGCTACTTAAGAATAGCATTTTTTAGGGTACCTCAACTTGTATCTTGTCATATTTTCCATAGAAAATTTAGTGAAAAATTACTTTCCTCTCTCTTAATTTTGGGAAACCATAGTTTGAATTTAGTAAAAGCAAAGTTTGAGATCAAAAGAATATGAAAGTTAATGTCTACCACCGTTTAACAAATGTCAAATCTAATGCAGTATTAAGGAAAATTTTTAATTTTGGCTGAAATATGTCTTACAAAGAGGAGTCCGAATTCATTCGAAAGACTTTGTTTCACCAAATCTTAGAGTACAAGCTGGAATAAATAACTTTTCTTTCTGTTATACAGAATCTCTTGTACATTGATCGTAAGTTTATCTCTTGTAATACCTAAGCCCTTTTCAAAACAATATCTATGAAATGAAGGCAGAAAACATTTCTTTATATCGTCTTAATTGGAAATGAAAAGCTACAAAATGTGTAATGATTATATCTGGGGTCAAACACACTAATTTCACAATAGGATGGCCTCAGATTTGTAATGAACAGTGAAATTCTCGTGTATTTACCATTTTCGACAATTTAAAAAGGAAGTACTGGAAACGCATGCGCTGAAGTTTCTAATCTCCTAAACGCTTTATAATAAGGTGAATTTGGTTCTTCTTGGCAAACGTCAGGTCAACGTAGAATTTAAAGTGAAAGTAAGAGGTGATGGAGGTTGTCATCGTTGCTGCAGTCAGAACACCGGTCGGTAGGTAGCCCTCCGACCTCTTTTTCAGTTTGATTATGTAAAATATCAAAATTATACCTTATACCACAATACACCTCCAAATTACCATAATGAAATAAATGGAGATAACGAAAAGTGTCAAACTCAAAAATCCATTCAAACAATACTAATCAGCAGGTCCAGTACAATCACAGATTTAACATTATTTAGGTGAGAAGGTGCCATGGAAGAGTAGCTCTATTTACCTACCTCAGGTAGCTTTATATTAGCTATTTCAAGGTAATTATTCAAAAGTTTTCCTTTATTATATATAATTATATATATATGATCTGTTGATATTTATACTAGGGAGGCTTAAAAAACAATCCAAACTGTGGAAGCCAAATACATTGCTACGTTTGGACAATTTAGAGCAAAACATGTAATTCACATTTTTGGACACACTAAAGCATGACGCAAAGACAAGGGATGCAAATGAACTAGCTTCCCCAATGGCCGATTCGAAGAACTGGTTTGAACATTTCGTTGGTCGTCTTAGGATGACTGTGTGAAGTGAAGTGCAATATATAATGAAAGTTGCACATGATGTAATGTAAAAACATTTTTCATATAGATTTTTAAATGAGTTGTTTTCAGATCATAAAAGGAATGATACTGCATGTAATGTTTAATTCTACACATCTGAGAAAAATGCTTTTAAAAGAAAATAATAGCATAATAGCAAAATATATTTGACTATAAGGCCGAAAATTAAAAATTGGTCAAATGTGTATTTTGATTACTGATTGCACTAAAATTGCTAGTCGAACAAACACAAATCTCTGAAATGTTTAGCGGTGAGATGAGGTGAAATGCAAAAAAGCATCTAAAAACACGTGCATGTTGATGATGACAATTTAAACACATTATGTGGTATAATCGATGCATTATATATAATTATATATATAATTATATATATAACTGTATATATATCATTGCTTCGTGATATCTGACGGAAGTTACAATGGTTCCAGTAATTGAATTGCGTAAGCAAAAAAGGCAACATGTTGCTGATGCAGTTTGTTTTAAACTTTTCAACAAGAAAGGGCCGTTGTCAGAGAGTAAATAAAAAGGTTTCCAACCAACCATGGCATGTCGTTGGTCGTCTAAGGACGACTGAGTGAAGTGAAGTGTAATATATAATGAAAGTTGCACATGATATAATGTAAAAACTACTTCATATAGTTAAAAGACTAAAATAGTACTGCATATAATTAAGGAAATAGTGCATGTAATGTTTAATCCTTATATAAGACAGTCCCGGTGTTAGCAACTTTTACGTCGATTTTACTCTCACGCGCGCACGTACACGTCGTGTGCCTTGTTATGGTTAGCATGTTCACATTGAGAAGATGTAGTCAGGCTTTCACCTTATCCACTTCTCTTCACAAACCTTCATGTTTTGATTGAATTGATTCTGGAAAACGTAAAATTCAGAACCAGTGCAGCCTATAAAGTCTTCTATTAAAAATGTCACAGACGGAATGGAATGCAGAAAATCTGACAAAACAAAATCTAGTTTACTGCAATCTTCCTTTTTTGACAAGCAGTGTGCAATAATAATCAAATGAGAAAGATAAATGCTCTGGTGAACAAATGAAGGAAAATCATTTTTGTATACCAATGTGCAAGGGAGATGGAAAAGAATTTTTATTTTAATTTTTGACTGTTATACATATGCAAGCATGTACATGAAAATCAATTTCAATAACTCACACATTATATGTTCAAAGTCACACAAGATTTTGGTAGCTTGTAGAAAAGATGAATTAAAATGTTTGATAACAATACTGGAAAACATTTTTGAAATAATAGTTTTAATTTAATTTAAGTACACAGTAAAAGTGATGGTTTCTTTTTGTTTCAGTATATAAGACATGTTTGTGTTTGGCAATAATATTTAACTGTCGTAACCAATCACTATCGCCGTGTACTTATTGTTATGATCAGCAAATCATATTCTCTTTAGAGAGGTGGACAGGCTTTTGTATATATAATCAATTCTCTTATAATTATATATATGTTTTGATTGAATTGATTCTGGAAAACATGTAAAATTCAGAACCAGTGCAGCCTATAAAGTAAAAAATAATTATTGAAATAAAATGTCACAAATAGAAAATCTGACAAAACAAAAAAATTAATACTGCAATCTTCCTGTATATCAACACAAGCAGTGTGCAAAATTAACTTGAAGTCAGATCGAAAGTTCTTCTGGAGACAAATTGAAATAACTACATTTTTGATTAAAAAACAATGATGCATAGTCTGAATGGAATAGATTTTATGATTTCTTATGACTGTTATACCCTATGCAAACATGTACATCTAGGTTCCTGAAAAATTACTTGTTTTATACAATTTATTTCACACATTACAAATAAAACATAATGATGAGGCAGTGAATAAAAATTGGGGAAGGCGGGGATGAAAATGTAGAAATTTTCTTTTTTATTATGGTATAATCACTAACTGCATGTATATCTTGTTGTAGGGTCTTTTAATGGTGGATTATCCACTCTTCCCGCACATGACCTTGGGACTCTCTGTATCAAGGAGGCTCTGGGTCGTGCAGGCGTCAATGGGGAGACTGTGTCGGAGGTCATCTTAGGACAAATTCTCACTGCAGGTATAATAATTATGTATTTTCAAACACAAAGTACTTGGCACAGCATAGGTTAAATTTTTAAATGGATGGAAAATGTTTTTTTTTAATATAGAAATTGTAAACTTGCTATTTTCTTATGCTTGAACTTAGGTCTTGAATATGGTCAATGCATTCCTAACAGAAAATTCTGTAATGCACTTTTTATGAATGCAAACAAATTTTCATTATTATTCATGATCCTCAAAATAATTTCAGTAACTTAATTTTGAAGATCATTTACAACATGCCAATAAAGAAGAGGACCTATATGTGAATAATATGTTATATGATCAATTACCAACACATAATTATATGTTTATTACATTGTAATTATTACCTTGATATATACATCAATTTACATGTACATATATTTTGCTAAGAAGTGTAGAATAACCCGGGATTGAAAAATATTGCAGATAAGATAGAATTCTTCATATTTTCATTTGATAGGTCAGGGACAAAATCCAGCACGGAAGGCCAGCATCAATGCGGGGGTTCCTATCCATGTTCCTTCCTGTGGAGTTAACATGCTCTGTGGGTCAGGCTTAAGGGCGGTTGTTCTGGGGTACCAGGCCATCAAAACAGGAGATGCTCAAATTGTTGTGGCTGGAGGTCAAGAAAACATGAGTCTGGCAAGTATCATAAAGGAGAACTTTAATAGAAAAATTAATTAATTTCTTTATATTGAATTCAGGAGCAAAAGTATGTATTTCCTTCTTATTGCATGCATGACTGTTTAAATTTTTGTGGCTTAAAAAAATCCAGAAATTTCCACTGTAATTGAATCAGTAAGAGTACATTACTGAAGGAAATTCTTATGAGCATTATGCTGCATATATGTAAACCATGCAGCAAAGTTATTCAATTAATACATGTAGATTTATGCTTAGTTCATGTACCTGTGAAGCCTAGATAACCTTGGGTACTTGCTGTAGATAGAGGTACATTTAGCACTCTTTTTGTAAAAGAACTCAATGTATGGATTTGTTCTTACCTTTGTTTGCTTTTGTAGGCTCCACACTGCATTCACATGAGGAATGGAGTGAAGTTTGGGGACACATCACTTACAGACACCATGATGTCAGACGGTCTTATAGATACCTTCAACCAATACCACATGGGAATTACAGGTGAAAATGATTTTACCAAAAAAAAAATCTAAATTTAAAAAAGGTCTGAATGAAACTTTGTCAGGGAATATTCAAATGAATTCTTTAAATTATCCGTGTTTTTGTGTGGTAAATTGAAGGAAGATAAATCTGGACAGGTAAAAATTATTTCATGGATATTGTTAAATTTACTGATTACCTCCCTTACTACATAAAATGAAAATACCGGTTAATGTAAACATTTTGAAAAAAATAATTTAAATTTTTTTTTTCTGTTTATGTAAAACAGTTATAGGGGCAAAGAAGAATGAGATTACTGATAATTTACATACAAGCTTGATTTTTTAAAGTGTGAATTATATATTTCAGCTGAAAATGTATCAAAGAAATATAACATATCCAGAGAAGAACAAGACAATTTTGCAGTTAATTCTCAGCAAAAGTGTGAGGCAGCACAGCATGCTGGATATTTTGATGAAGAAATAGTTCCTGTTTCCATAGCAACCAGACAAGGAACAAGTGAGTTGGATTTAGCTAGCTCAAAAAGAATGTATATTTGAGAAATAACTGTTATATACTATATATATATATATTTGGAGGGGGGATGGTTAACATTTGTAGAATTAATGTAATTGATATCAAATAATTTAGAATCAAAAGCTTATAAATTAGAAATTCTTTGTAGGATAAAGCTAAAATAATGACTACACTGTAGTAAATTAAAAAGTTGCTATGAAAATGCTTATACATGTAACATACATCGGAACTATTACGAAATTAGCACATTAAGTATTCAGCTTAAAGAAGGGAATGAAAGTATTATTTCCTTGCATTGTGGCTAATTTTAACAAATGTCTTGATTAATTGAAAAAATAACAGAGAAATAACAGAGAAAATTAGTTTGTGATTTAAAACTTTCATAATTTGTCTTACAGAGGTGATAAATAAGGATGAGTATCCCCGACATGGCTGTTCTATAGACCAGTTACAGAAACTCAGGCCAGCCTTTATAAAAGATGGATCTGGAACTGTAACTGCTGGAAATGCCTCAGGTAAATTTTATCAATTTTATGAGATTCACACAACAAAAATAAAATATAAACTTTTGTGTCACCTGTGTAGCATGTCAGACACGGAAGTATATGTGTACATTGTCTAGTGCCGTCATAACTTATATATAATTTTTGTTGCACTTTTACATGATGGTCTGTATAAGATTTTTGTTTTTAAAGTGTACAGTTTAGTCCTTTTCAAATTATTATTAAAAGTCTTTATAATTTTTTATAAAACTTACTTTGATTGGAGTATAGCTGTAGGCAACATGCTTTCCTTGAAATTTCTCTTTGATAATTTTAATTAATTAATTTTTTCTTGGAAGAACTAAATGAATTTGATTATTATCTTTAAGATTTGAATTTTTGAATTGTGGTTGCAGGTTTAAATGATGGAGCAGCTGTATGTGTGTTAATGAGTTCAGATGAAGCTAGATCTAGGTCATTACAGCCACTATGTAAGATTGTATCGTGGGCACAGGTGGGGGTGGATCCAGCTATCATGGGCATGGGACCAGTAGATGCCACCAGGAAAGCAGTAAGCTAAAATGTGATATCAAGACCCTTATATTTACAAACTAGGAAATAATTTACTTTTTTTGACCTTATTTTACAAATACATTCAATATTCAATGTATCCCATTAATAGTAATACCATTATATTTAAGCATTACTGTCATGGGGGCAGCAAAAAATGAAAGCAATAAGTCAATATTGTTATGATTTCACTTTTAAATTTGAAAGCAACAAATCAATATCGATCATTATGATTTCACTTTTAAATATGAAAGTGAATATCATTATGATTTCATTATTATTTTGCTGACAGCTGGAGAAGGCCCATTGGACCGTGGAGGATGTAGATCTGTTTGAACTCAATGAAGCCTTTGCTGCCCAGTCTGTTGCCGTTGTTAAACAACTCGGCTGTGATCCAAATAAGGTGGGTTTTTATTTTGCTCTCTATCCTTGATTTTACAGGTTTAAGAACAAAAATATAATTTATTAATTTTCGGAAATATAAACATTTGCTTGTATGGTGTGCATTCAAATAATATTTGCAGTTTTTAAAAAAATCCAATTTGGTGGTGTTACATAGTACATCGTAACAATATCAATTTAGAAAACTTTTTTTTATCATTTTTTTTTTGAAATTGAAAACCTGACTGTTTACTATTTAATCAAAAGTTAAGAACAAAAATATAATTGATAAATGTTCGAAAATGAAAACATCCAAAGTTGTGATGTTTTTGTTGAATCACCCTGTACTTGTAAGATGTGGTTCAATGTGAAGAATATTCAGACATTTATTGCCTGTTATATTATGATGTAGACAGCTCTCAATCAATGATGCATTCTAAACAAAATAATATGTATATTCTAAAAGCAAAATTAAAATGCAGAAATATTTCCTTTTTACAAGGTTAATATTAATGGTGGAGCAATAGCTATAGGACATCCAATAGGGGCTTCAGGTGCCAGAATTCTGGTGACATTGTTACATTCGCTGAAAAGGACTGGTAAAAAAAGGGGTGTTGCAGCTCTTTGTGTTGGAGGGGGGATGGGGATAGCCATGTGTGTGGAGAGAACATGATCTAAAACAAAGAACATTTGTTATACCTATAAGCTGTATGTCAAACATACATGTATCATGCATATCAAATAGTCCTGTATGTTGTTAATATGTTTTGTCGTGATAGTTTATCAGTATTAGAGAATTTTATGTCTGTTTACTTAGTTCATCCTTTTTGTACACATTCCTTGATCTTAATTTTGTGTGAGACATAAAACTTTTACCAGGTTCCCTGAGTCACTCAGGTGACCCATTGCTATCCATTTTCATCAGTGAACATGTGATGTGCACTCTGAGTGGTTCATAAACTCTTTGATATTTACAATGTACTTATTCACAATTTATAATGTAATACAAAAATACATGCAATGTCACATTAAAAACATTCATCAAATGGTAAAACTCTCATCAAATAGGTTCAAGATTTAGACATAGCTGGGGTTTAGTTCATCATATAAAGGCTTATTAATTTGACTCTTGATAAATATTTTATTTAAAATTATCTACACAGTGATAAGTGTTTCTGACTTTTATATATGATTTTCAAATAAATAAACTGTGTGGTACATTCCTGGTAATTTCCTGTCAAACTGTTGATAAAACCCAATTGACAATAAACAAAAGCAATATTTTTACTTCAGAACTTTTTTTTTATTTCTGCCTGGAAACAAAAATTCTGCTGAAGGTCCATAGCTTGCTTTTCTTTCAGTTAGTTAATGTATTTTCCACCCCGAGAAGGAGGAGTATGTACCTAAAGCATAAAAACTTGAAACGCCAGATGTTACCCAGACCTGGTTGTTCTTGTTTAGCCATATTGTAATGGTAGAACCACACTGCTGATAGGTTCTCTGGCAGTGAGTTTGATGATAGATTGATCCATCTTTCATCAGTCTTGAGTTCCCATTATAACTGCTATGAACAGAAATACTCCAAGAGAAGACATACAAGCCAGCAGATGGGGCCGTAAAACGATAGTTACTGGTGCTGAAAGCGTTCCCATGGTTGATTTTGACTGTATTAAACCGAATCACAGCTCCAGAGCTGGAAGATTGGGAACTGGATGGCACTGCAGTGAATGCTATGTCATTTCTGTGTGAACCTGTTTTAAATGGATCAAGATTATATAATATCTTCCACTACTGGTTACAAAATATGTTTTAAATTCCATTTTAAATTTCGATATTTTGGCATTTTAAGAAAAATATATACAAGTATAATAATTAAATTAATTAAACACAGAGAGGAACATGTGTTTACATTTACCTATATCACCCACTTTTGAGGCTAAATCAAGACCATGTTGAAGAGTTTCTGCTTGTTTCATTAGATTTGCAAGCAAACTTTTTCCGGCAACCATGCTGCTTATTGAGCATAGTGTCAGGAAAAAGGATAGCATCTTAAAATCTTGCTTCATTTTACACCCTGCAACCAACAAATAATATTAATAAAAGTCTACCTAAATCTTAACATTTCTATGATCATTAAAATCATTTCTTTGAAAAGATGACATATTCCATTTTTTATTAATTTACTTGCGTGAAAACTGAAATTGAATTTTCATTGATCTAAAAATTAAAATAATTGTTTTTGTAACCAATTTTAAACTTTACAAAATGTTCAAAAACCAACTTGAAAAGAAACATACCCCACTGAATTAAAATGTTTCCCTCTCCTGTGGCCAAGAAATGTATTTTTGAAATCATTTATATATATTTTGTTATAATTGTCTGCAAATACTGCAGTTACTGAAGTGCTTGCGTAACTAATGTAGAAATGCACTACAAGACATCTGCTGCTTATGCTAAGAGGTTTTGAATTGTTTCGAGGAACACCATATAATGTCCAAACGTCATCAGTTTATACTTTCCCATACCAAATACATAAAAATAAAATAGCTTAGTATTGGTGGGTAGTTTACCTATAAATTGTGCATGAAACATCTTGTATTCCTCCTTTAGCTGCAGTGCTTGATTTATGCTCTCTCAAAGTACTGCTCAATTGTTAAAAATTTTATCGAATGAAATATTTTGTTATATATATAGTCTCTTAATACCTATTTTTTGCGTTTGTTAAGCCTTCCAAGGTCTTTTAATTATTTGGTATGTATTTTTACAATCAAATGTGAATTTGATATTTACATGTAATTTAATTTTATGTAGTTTTTTTTTTCGATACATGAAGGCAAACTAAATTTTATCGCAATTATCATATGCCACAAATAGCAGCATATTGAAAATTAATCAATTTGCAATTTCCAGTTTAGGAATCAAATCAAGGACATTAGCTAAAATGAGGTACGTTTTCCTGTTTTTATGGATCTGCATTTTGGTCTTTGCCAAAAAGGCGGAAGGGAGAAGTTTGATGGCCCACTTAATGCGACAAGCCGGGAATTTGAAACATGGTTTAGACCTTGCGGCGAGAGTTGGCGATATCGGTACTTTGGTGTCGTTTATCAATTTTAATTGTATTAACGATTTAAAAACAGGCAAATGTTGTGTTTTGTACATAAATGCTTCTTCCGCTAGAGAATGTTTCCCATGCACTCTTCTCATCAATTAAAATGTATGTGTCAATCAAATAAACACTAACTTTCTACCACTTAATGAAACTTTAGACCACAGCTCAGTTAAGAAAGATCTGAAAAGAAATGTTTATTTAGTTTTAAAAGAACGAAGCCATTCATTAAATAAAAATTGTAGCGGCAACTTAGTTAATCTAAAATACATGTACCCGAATACAAAGAAAACGTCTAAATTGTTTAAGGAATTGCTGTCTTGTTTGTATAGTATGTCAGGGCATCAACAATAGTGGGAAACATGGGATAATTTGCATAACGGGCGAAGCCCGTTATGCATAAATTATCTCATGTTTCCCACTATTGTTGATGTCCCTGGCATACTATACTAACTAGACAGTGATTCTTTATATTTCCTTTTTATTGTGAAATAAAATTGTAGATTTAAACTTTAAAAATGTAGACATAGATTTAAATAACACAAGGACTCCCATGCCAATTTCAATAGTCCTCGCCCACTGACATCAAACACAAAGGCAGCTGCAAGAGATTTATTTTTATATACTCGCCTATAAGTCGGTCCGCCTATAAGTCGGTTGTGTTAAATAAGCTAAAATATCAGAGGGACTGACCTCATATAATGCCATTTATTTTATAGCTCGCCTATAAGTCGGACATAAAGTTTTGGACAGGAGATAAACTCCCAAAAATCCGACTTATAGGCGAGGATATACGGTACATGCACATTTGGCCTCCTTAGCGTCAGACACAGAGACAGATGCGCACGAGATTTGCATGCATATTAGGCCTACTTAGCTCCTGACTTATCGACCTTCCTAATTTACATTCCGGTAGAATTATCAAGAAATCAACCCCAATAACTTTCAAAGAGTTATCACTGAGAAAAAAAATAGAAATGGAAATATATTTAGAATACAATTCTAAATATTATATTGTATTTAGAATACAATTCCTCCCCCAGTGTGATATTATATGTACATTGATCAAACTGTATATTAATTCAATTTCTTTCCATATGATGTCTTTAAGTTCGCACAAAAATGATGTTGCATTCACTGCAGTCACTTCGAGTGCTACAAACTACGGAAGTGGACGTACCATAGCTTTCAACAGAATGCTTTTAAACCATGGAAACGCTTATAGTACCAGTAACTATCGTTTCACAGCACCCTCAGAGGGTTTGTACGTATTTTCCTGGTCACTTGCCCTTTTAAAGGGAAGCAGCTATAATGGCAACGTAAACTTGATAAGAAATGGAAGTGTTTACCACAGTACCACTTGTTCAAGTACATACCAGCAATGTGGGAGTACCGTTACCATGTGGCTGGGAAAAAACAACCAGGTCTGGATCCAGACAAGAAACAGCAACGTGTACGTCTACGGTACCTACTCCTCTTTTTCTGGTTGGAAAACCCACTGGTGAAATGTAATACCAAACAGAATGAATACAATAAAATCATTCATGAGTTTCGTTTTTGTTTTAATATGTTTAATTCTAAAAATCAGTGACGGAAATTATTGTACTGTTAAATTAGTTTGCACTGATACATTAGTTTTTCAATGTAACACTACAATTCCTTGAAACATATTATAATAATGATATACTTTTAATAATGTAACATTAGATAAATGTATAATTTTAAATTTACTAGCACATAGTAAATACATTGTAGTAATTCGGTATTTGAGAATTTGTCAGTTGCAATCTATACCGTTTTAATCAATAAGCTAAACATGACTATTCTTTTTTTCTTCCAACTAACCAATGGATCTATCTTTATTGAACATGTAGGATTCTCTCTAATAAATAAGAGACTTGCTTATCTTAATAGCTTTATGTATTTTCCAATTCAGCTTTGTCTTCCTTGTCTTAAGTGTTATAACGAAACGCTTAAAAACATTTCTTTCCAAGTGATACTTTGTATCTGTTAATCAACAATATATAAAAAAAACTGTAAAAGATCTCACTTTATACCTCAATTATTTTTGGAGCTATAGTAAAAATAATTTTTTGGACATCTTGACCTTTGGCAAAACCTCAACAACAAAACCTTACGATATCCTTTTTCCATAACATGACAATGATTACATGTATACGGAGGGTGGGACAGGTTAACAGAGTGTGCGAACTCCTCAATGGCACCCGACCCCAGCTCTTATGTTTAGTAGAGGTCAATGTTTGCTCTGCTCCTGATTTGTATTGTTTCAGTAGATTTTTGGTAACTCTTCGTTTTCTCCAAACATGCGTTTCATTTTAAAAAAGTTGCAAAGTGCAGTCGGTATGTAAACTCATGTGGACATGTTTTTTTTCTTTCTGTACATACCCGTGTACTCAAGCAAGGTACACTACCCGAGTTAAACATAGCTATTCATGAACATTGCAATTCTTCAGATCATATTTTAAAGAAAAATGCTCCCTTTATTTCTGTTTAAAATGTTCGTCCATTTGGGCAATTCCACTCATTTGTTGGCCATTATTTGAATCTATTTGAACCTACAATGTACACTTGCTGAGGATGCTAATCAGTTCTTAAAATATGACAAATCATGGATTTGCTGTTCTTGAAAAGAAGATTTTCTCTGTAACCTATATCCCTAAGAACAGCGTCGATGTCCCAGTTTTAACCCATCCCTGTGGAAAGAGGTCATGATTTCAACAATCTTGATTTTACACTAGCAAAGGATCATTTGATTTTTACTATGTATAATTAATTAAGCATGGCTTAAAATTACTTTTCCTGAAAACATTTTAAAAAGAAAATGTTCCTGAAGTAAAAAATTCCTATGTAAAACTTTGATAGCTCTATCAGTTGGGGTCATGATTTGATCAATTTGAATCTACATTACATGAGGACGCTTTCATGTACACGCACATACAAGATACTGCCTTCTTATTTAAAAAAAACACATAAGCCACTGTCAGATTTCAATACTAGTAATCATGGTCATATTGAATAGTTGAAATATTTGTGTCTCATATTCCTCCCCTGCATTTGATATAATTGACTTTCTATGAATTAACATATCCAGATTCTCTGCCTTCAGGACTACGTCTCTTATCATTGAAATCTTCAATACTAGTATTTTCGTTTTTGTTTATATATCCCGATTCGTCATCATCCACAATCTTCACATAAATGTGTTTCGGGGAATGTTCTGGAGCCAAGTCGGTGCCATCTTCTGGAACCTCCATGTTTGATTGTGGAATCGTTTCCTGTATCATTTCTATGGATTCATCAAAATCTTCGTTATCTGTGATCATGTTCTCGCTCACAGGATCATTTCGTGTTTCAAATTCCTCGTACGAAGTACCACCATCGAACACTGGAGACAAATATGTCGGATCTGATTTTAATCGTCCTCTTTGCTCCTGATTTAGCATTAAATCTTGTTCTCCAAGTTCAAAATTTAGAGTCTTATACTGAACAAACTGGTCAATTATATTGCTTTCGAGACCATTTCTGATGTCTGCTCTTTTAGTACACTTTTGATACACATATGTGACGACGCATAATCCAAAAAATAAGACAAACAGTCCAATTAAAATGATCCCAATGTAAACGACAAGCTCAGTATTTACTGAAAAATTGTCTGGATTGTAAGTGGAAGACGTAATGGTTACGCTCGGTTCAGTAGTCGTTGAACGACCCTCTGTAATATTTTTAATAATCCATGCTTTTGAACTCGTGTCCCATCCGTCTGATGAAGGGATTGCTTCTGCATAATATAATTTGAAAGATACAGTAAATAAATTTACTATAAATATTTCACTAAATATTCCTTAAATGAATTTCTAGATTGCAAACTTCTCCAACCCTACCTAAACAGATTAGAAGTTACACAATTTGACAAATCAATGCATGTCTTATATTAGTTTGTTTTTAAACTGTGTAAAACATGAATAGTAATAAGTATTATAACTGATGCTTAATGGTTTAAATTTTAGTTATGAATCAGTTCAGTATAACTTAAATGAATATGTACACTTGTAACTTGACCATCTTATTTTCAATGACATTTTTAGATAAAATTATGTACTAAGAATTGTACTTACTTGTGGATGCAATGCATCCATAACCATGATGGCAAAGATGTTCTTCACAATTGCAGTCTTTTTGGCAATCCTTTCCATAGCTCGGATAAGCACATATTGTAGAGCAATTAAATCCTAGATATCCTATCGGGCAAGCTGAAAGTAGAGATTGTACATGCATGATACATTGTATATCATAGTCATAATTTGAGTTATATAACTGAAAAATTGAAAATAACTCATACAAAAACTGAAAAATTTAAGTGTTTAGAAATTCAAAAATAAGGTTCACCTTCGCAAACCTTTGTAATTGTATTCCTCCAAAATCCTGCACAGCAAACAGGACCATGTACCCTTTGAAAACAATTAGAACATTAACTTCTCAAAAATTAAGAAAAATAAAATAAAAATTGCATGAAGATTTGACGAAAAATATACCCTCGACATAATTGTCCATTAACAAATTCGATGTGAGACAAGCTGATCACAATGACAGAAATATAAATCATCATTTCATCAGTCATTTTTAAAATTATCCATTTTGAATGAGGAAGTTATGTTCGATAGATCTGCCTTATCTCCTATTTATTTAATTCTTCCTTTTCATCTAAACTATTACAATTAATACACTGAATGCGTAGTGCTCATTTCAATTTATAATTTTTTACACAGTTGAAATGAAATACATGTATGCTATCCTTTTTCAAATGTTATGAGGTTAATATTAAAGGAAGTATGGCTTCAACGGAAATATTTACCATGGTAGTAATTAAAAAATAGGAAAACATAATTATGAAAAATTAAAATATACCAAGGTATATTTCTTTTTTTTTTTTGAATTAAAGTTATAAGAACAAAGAAGGACTGATTAGAAAATTCTATGCATTTTATTTCTATGGAAGGCTTATTATATATTTATTGACTTTCTACATTTAGCCTTTATCTTAACATCTAAAACTGTAAACAGGGGAAATATTCAATAAATCTATTTACATGTATTATCTTTTTATTATTTCAATATCCGAAATAAATAATATTTTCTCATAGATGTATTCATTATTTTCCGTCGAAAAAAAGTTACTGTGAAAACAAATTAACCATCTAAACATCTATTGTTATTTGCAAGTGGGAATAGGTGATATTGAAATTTTTAAAGAGTGGGAATAGGTAGAAGACACCGGGAAATTACATTATTTTCATTCGATGTAATGTAAAAATATATTTTTGGTATTAATATTTTGAGAGAAGTTAATTGTTGCAGCTCATAAAATTGGAAATTTTATTGTATTTATGCAAATGTATCATTTTTTATATAAATGACAATTTTAATAAAAACAAAATTTACTATCACCCGACGTTCTTCTACGCATTCTTGAGATGTTCTAACAAAAATTTGCTCTCGGTTGATTAAAAAAAATTCGATTTCACGTTACGTACACGTGTAAGTTGTGGATGTGATATCGGCATTGATTGATTGATTGTTTGACGTCCCAGTCGAGAATTTTTCACTCATGGAGATGCCACCAATTGCCAGTGGAGAGCTGCAACATCATAAGCTATGCTCGGCACTCGGGGAGCTCCTCTCAAAATGACAATTGTTATTATATTCCAAATATAATTTGGCAGATTTGTACATTTCAGTTTCAACGAAATCACGATGAACAGTCTTTTAAATATTTTTTCGTCTCATCTGATATAATTTGAGATTACATTGTACGCTGATTACAATTATCCTAAATACTTCCAAAATTCAAAAACTGATTTTAAAATAATTCTTTTTTTCAGAATTGTCACTCATATGCAAACCTCACCACTTATATTTTACATAGTCATTATAACATACACTCTTTTAAAGTCGGCGTCTACACAGATTTATTCCATGTTTACCCCTTTATCCCGTGGGTATGACCCAATGGATAAATTTTTCATATCCCACACTTAAGTGCAGTTATGACGTCATAATGGTTTTTGCGTTAGCGTGATGAAGTAAAATAAAGTGGAGTACTATATAAAACACTGTATAACATGTGAAGCATTAAACATGGGATAAAAAGAATCTCCCGTGATTTGTAGTTGGATATGATTTTTATACAACTCGTGTGTTTTTATCCCCTCGCCAAGATTCAGGGATAAAAATCACACAACTCGTTGGATAAATATCATATCCAACTACAAATCACGGGAGATCCTATATATATCTCGTATCTGGGTATTTTTAAATTGATTGTACTTTCCAGTTCACGAAGACGGGTTAATTAACAGAAAGCAGGTCAGGTGTTATTTTTTTCTTATCTCAATCTAATTCAGAAAACAACTTTATAAAAATATATTTAAATAAATATTTTTACAAAATGGCCTCTTGTTATTTTCAGAGTTTATAATATGTTTTTTTATCTATCTATCGAAGGTCTTTGCGTCTGCGCAATGAAGGTACCTGAAATGTCCTCTGCCAGGTAAATGGTAGGTAAAGTTTCAATAACATGTTATTTCTAGAGACACTTAAGAGGGCTTTTCACGAAGATTGCGTTTATATAAATCAACATAGGCAATTTGAGAAAACTACATGCTTCAAGCAGAAATTGTGAAATATTTCTTGGTATATTCTGATAATAAATTAAAATTTCTACTTTCGTTTTAGAAATCGCAAAAGAAATGTTTTACATACATACTATATTTTATACACTGTTTATCAAAAAAAAAAAAAAAATCATTGGAAGTTCAGTCAGCGAAACGCAATATTCATCAGTGATATACAGATTTATTATACAACCAATAGAATAAATAATTTACAACCTTGTATTTTATAATTCTAAAATTAATCATACCTAGAAAAGTTTAATCTCTAAAACTAATGTCAGGGGTCTATGTAGAATATGATCTTCAAAAATAAGAAAAAATACCTTTATTATTAATATAAATATATTACTCAAATGTAATCATAAACTGTAAATAGAATAACATGAGTACTTGGGTACCATTTGATTGACAAACAATATAAATTCATATACATTAATTTGAAATGACCCTCTTATTGTTTCACTTATTGCATATATATAACGATTAAACCACTCCAGACCTATAACCCAAAACAATAAAACAATATTGTATCATTGGGCCACACTAGTACTATATGAAGATGCAAATTAAGATTACAGCATAAGAAATTTTCAACAGAAAGACAAGATATAAACAAGAAATTTACTGAATTAAATTCATTTATTTTTTTTTTATTTCAGTTATATATTGAGTACGTTATGGTTAGATGTTAAAATTATTTCTTTTATTTCACAAACAAATATATTTAAAGGCTCTTTTGAGATTTTAATTTGTCGATTTTTTCATTATGGATCACCGGTTTTAAACTCATTGAGCCTTATTAAATTTCTTACAAAGCAGCATAAAAAGTGAAAACACCATGCAACACAAAATATGGTTTTCTGCCGTCATCCTGCTCCTTTATGTGAAGGTATTTTGTATATATGTTTTTGAGATTTGTTTTAAATTTGGGACAATAAATTTTTACCTTGAAGAATCAGACATTTTTATGTTTTTATTTTGAGAGCTATAACTTATCTGTTATTGTTATATTTCTTTTTAGAATGGTTTTTTCCTTGATGATAGACATTGTTTCAAGTCTTTAGAGACTATGCAGATAGTCGAAAGCTGTCCTCGTGACAAAAACGAAATGGAAGAAGCTGCCAAAGAAAAAAACTGTTCACATCATGCAAAGAACCAAAGTTGTACTGTTCCAGAAAATTTCAAATATCATTGCGTTATTAATGTTTTCAGGAATCAGTCTATCGAAGTTTGCGCCCCAGAGAGAAAAATTAATGGTAAAAAATGTTGCAAGCTCATCTATAATAAATTAAAATGTATGAAATACAGCCCCGCACACTTTTTATAATAATTGACACAAATCAACGTCACATTGGATCTTTTTTTTTTTTTTTTTTTTTTACAATAAAACTGAACATTATTGAGCTTAAGAATGAGACATTACTCAGTAATGTAATTAATATATGTTTGGAAAGGTACATATTTTTGAATTTTATTATCTTAAAGTTTCAATGTTGATGTTTAAAAGGGTGCTTTATTAATTAATGCTATGCTGTTATATCTGTATAATTCTACCCTAGGTATTTACAAATATTAATAATTATAATCATTTGTACTATTAATTGCAATTTTCAAACTGAATTCTTGTATTTTGCTATGTACTTTGCAGATTTTTCATACTCCTCATGGTATTGTCGAATTGTAGCTCCAAAATTGACAATGCTGCATAAAATAATAGGATAAAAAAATACTGTTTATCATTTACAGTCTGAAAAGTCTGGGTCGTATCTCACATAATGCGAGATTCAGAAAGTAGACCTGTACAAAAATGCCAGCTTTTTAACATGGAAAGCAGTCGAAAAGATGAGAAATGCTGTTATCATCTTGTGCATTAGTGTCATATTAATGTACAAAACACACAGAATTTACTTGATATATTTTAAAAAGAACGGGTACAAAGTCGGCTGCATTTGATAAGAAACCATAAAAACATTAGGGAACAGCTGTCATAATCTATCAGCCAAGAGTATATCAAAACCCTACCAATCATAATGTGTGAATTATGCTTTAAAGCAGTGAAATAAACTTGAGATTAAGTTAGAAATCATTTTAAAAATATATTTTTTCCCACGTAACATAATTTCGCATAATTAAAATTTAATATGACCATGTGAGTTTAAAAATTGCACGGAGCTGTATTATGATTCAAGATGTACATTTTGCGATATTCAAATATTAACTCATGTTAATTGGAACAGAATACAGTTTATTTTAACCACTTTGACAATTGTATCATAAATGCATTTTTGTAATATTCCGTGTTTATTTTGATGTTTTATGTGGTTTTTAGGCTTTTGTGTAGAATTCAACCTCGAAGGTGCAAGAATACAAGATCAATACCTCTCTGACTGTACAGTTTTAGACCCGCCTTGTCCAAAAAGATACAGTTCAACTGATGCTTATTTATGTAAGAACATGCCATACATACATCTGTATATATTATTTATATGAACTTGTGAGATATGATAAAATTACGGAGAATAAGAGTACAATCTCAAGTACTATACACATTGAAGTGCATTTTAGTTTACATTTTAATGAAGATTGCATGATATCGAAACACCCTTGCTAGGAAATCCTTTTTACACTTTCAGAACATCATATATTTGTTGCTATTCACAAACAGTATATAAAGAATATTACTCCACGGTACAATTACAAGTACATTTTAAAATATTGTGACTTATGGTAAGCTTTAAAAGGAATAATACATACTAACAGGAATCATTATTTCTATTCACATTCTCTAGATCAGGCGTGTTATAAACACTCCTCGGTCTCGGCAAACACGACTACTGACGAAATTTTCTCTGCCGGGAGCAAAACTACATCGCCTAGTAATTTGTTGCCGGAAAGTGAAACTGACAATAAAACTAAGTGAGTTCTTATTTGAATGAATGTAACATGTACAATGATTAAAACAACTAAACGCTAACATAAATATGAATTGTTTTTCTCATTATTTAACAGGGCATTGTGGATATCTTTCACAGTTTTTGGAATTATTGTACTGGTTGCCATTCCTTTACTTCTAATCTGTCGATGGAGTAAATATTACATATCTTTCTTGGTCAATTAATAATGTTATAAGTCTATCAAGAAATATCTCAATTTCAGTTTTAACAACTCCTAATGCATTGCGTAACAATAAAAATGATTTCAAGATATTTCATTTGTTCAAAGAATACACTATCATGATTACAAACATATCACTTTGATGTAAATAGGAAGAAGGAAAAATCGAAAAAAACGAAGAGCAGGTACTGGAAGTGAAACCGACGCAACTAATGGAAAAACAAAATCTGAAATAGGTAAATATCTTTGGTTTGTATATATGCAGATTCTACTTTTAATGGTTATTTCCATAAAATTCAATGTAGAATTTCATTGTGAACAAAGCTCTGAAGTATGAAAATTAAACATAAAATGTGTTTTATCTTTAAAACTGAACAAAAAGGAAATGTTAAGAATTGAATGATTAGCTGTTTATAGATTTAAATGAGATATCAAAAGTGTTTTAAATGATGTATTTCTATTTATTTTGTAGAGGAAATGAAGCCCTTAGTTATGCATGATTTAGAGGGCAAGTATTTCCATAATGTGTTAAATCAAATATGTTTTATCTTTAACCCATGTTTCTCATACATATTTATTTTTCATGTAAAAATATTTCACACTAATTAAGTTTACTATATAAATATTTATATTTCCAGACAAAATGACGAGACGACAAATAAAAATGGGAACAACAACAGATAGATATAGTAAGAATTTCATTGAACAAAATATTTTTTTTTTCAGAATGTGTTTAATGTTAAATGTTTAATTTGAAATAGAGAATGAAAAATACATTTCATAAGATTTTGGAAAAACTTTTTGTAAAAGAATTATATGGAGATCTCGAACAGTATTCAATATCAAAGTTCATAAAACAATACAAAATAGGAGCAAAGCAAAAACGGACCTCCGAAACAGCGGTGGGATCAGGTGCCATAGAGGAGTGAGCATCCCCTGCTGACCAGTCACACCCGCCGTGTGCCCCTTGTCATGATCGGGAAATAACGGAAAATATGTCGTCAATTCAATGTATAACTAATAATATGTATGAAAAACACCAGTCAGCATTTGACTTAATCATAAATTGTATTGTCTGACAAGGTCATTGTATCGACCATAGAATTTACGAAATGATAACTTTAAACGAGACTGCTGATATTCTTGTTTCATCAACTTGCTTGTCAATGTCAATAATTTACCTCGTTTTAGAAACTGTTCATACGTAGAGCATGCTCTTGCGTATCGAATCAATTGAGATAAATACACACCGTTTGCAGGTGATGAAGGTACTAGTATATGGCTGCATAAGTAAGGGAAGTTGACGATAGAAAATTTAAAGTCACCATGTTTATCATATAGCTTGGATGTCAGATTACAATTAACGTCTATTCAAAGTAAAATATCCAAGTATGAAACAGATTTGTCAGATTCTGTAGTATCTTTTATCTCAAACTCTCCAGGATATATCGTATCGATGAAGTAATGGAAATTATCTTTATTGCCAATACGTCGTCGAAGGCCACAACAAAAGTTTTCTTATTTTCACGCAAACGATTGTGCAAAAAGTCTGCTTCATATGAATACAAAAATAGGTCTGCTAATAATGGAGCGCAGTTGGCACCTTTGGGAATTCCAATAGATTGTTAGAAGACCTGGTCTCCAAAAACCACATAGATATTGTCAATCAGAAACTAATGCATTTCTTTGATGTTAACTTCAGAATACTTGTGTGTGCAATCAGAGTATATTTCCTTGCTGTGTGACATTGTACTAACAAACTACAAATTTTACTATTTTAGCATTTACAGCGCAAAAGTCAAAGGAAGAGTTAGCAGAAGAAAACATAGGTAAGTTTAAAAAAATTGAAGTCATCTGAGGTATTGCCTTAAGTGGGTCTTCTGATTAAAAAAAGTTTCCCACATATGTCCTGTCTGTCGTGTGCTGTCAATGAACTTTTCCAGATCTACAACTTTATCTCTAAAACAACTGGATCTTATCAACTAAATTCAATATTGTTTACATGAAAAGCCTTGATCTTTTTCAAGGTGAGATTATTAAGAATTATTTCAAATTCCATGACATCTTCTTATCTTATTCTATTGGGCCTGTGAAAATGAAACTTATCTAAAAGCTTCATCACATAGAATAATTTTCAAATGTCTTCATATCATGCCTCTTTGGCTTGGATGATCCCATGAAGGCAATCAAAGTTTAACATAGGAATTTAGTGTAAAAATCATATTAAAAGAATCAATGCTTTCATATTTACATAGACTATCCTAAGAAAGCTAGGTTATAATTAGATACAGTGTACTGGTTTTAATCATGATCTCCGGGAATTATAGTATGGACTAGAACGGGTGATTAAAGTTATTCATAGTAGCATAAAGAAAATTTCTTTACAAAACTTACTATCAGGAAAATAAAATCCATAACCAGTCGTATAAAGGCGCATCATCGGGGAGAGGATATTCTAATTTGTTGAAATCCTGACTCCCGGGGTAAGTGGGGCCTCATTAGAAGATCACAAGTATACGTCACCCATGTTAAATTGCATCAATAATAAGAGATGGTGAGTCAATTCTTTCATGGCGTGTGATTTTCAATCCCAAGGGGAGACTGATTCTTCAAATAAGATCCTTTAACTGAGGTCCCTTAAAAGCTTGGCGCAGTAGGTGCTGGCATGATCTTTTACTGCTCAATTGACTCGAGTGCCGAGTATAGGACAAAATTTACAATCTTCCACCCGCAAGTGGTAGGGTTTCCATTTGAATATTCTAGACAGGAACCTTACACGTCAAACAAAGTATAAATATTTTAAAATGGTTTTGGAATTTTGGAAGTATTTAGGATAATAATAATCAGCTTAATCTCAAATTATTTCAGATGAGACGAAAAAATATTTGAAAAGCTACAAGACTTTTAATCGCTACTTTGTTGAAACTGAAATGTACAAATCTGCCAAATCATGTTTGGAAAAAAATAACATTGTTGTTATGATTGGAGCTTCGGGTTGTGGGAAAACTAATGCTGCAATTCACATGCTATTCGAAGCGGAAAAGGAAAACTGGGTTTTACGAAAATTTGGATCATGGGAAGAATTTACTCTTTTAGATGCAAATCAAAAGACTGTCGTCTTTATCGATAATGTATTTTATGGAACTGATAACTACGATTTAGAAAATTGGTGGAAGGAGTTGGATGAAATATATGGAAACTATCTAAAGCAAGGAACACAGAATTCACATGAAGAGTCTATGGTTAAGTTGCGTCTCATTATTACTGCTCGAGAAAATGTTATTGAAAATGCATGTCAGTTTATGAAAAGGATAACGCCCGTATTTAATGATACTTATCGGGAATACGCAAATAAATATCCTTTAACCGACGAAGAAAAAAATGAAATCTTTCATAAACAAATTGAATTTGCAGAGAAAGTAAAACATATTTGTTCACCACCAGGTGATTGTCATGGCTTCAGAACAAGTATATTTAAAGCTGAGGGTCCAATTGGTTTTCCCCTTTGTGCCCATTTATACGCATGCAAAGAGGAATACAGAAGGCGTGGTGCTAACTTTTTTTCTCATCCAATCGAATTTCTCAAAATTCAAATAGAAGATGAAGTCCGTAACGACCAAACCTCTAAAACCAAAACCCTCTTTTTTGTCCTTTTTCTTTATGAATGGCATTTAAAAACACATGATCCACATGCAAAGCTCAATCCAGAAAGCGAAGTTGCATGCAGGCAATTTTTGAATGCAATATCACCCGATCTTATGGACAATTTTAGCCCTTTAGATTTCAAGGAGTTAAAAAAGTTTGCACGTCACTTGTCTGGTTCATTTTTTATTGAAGTCGAAGGAGGAGGGTTTAAATTCGTTCATGACAGTGTATATGAGGCAGTGGGGACATACTTTTGCGAGCGTTATTTTGACAAAGTCATTCCCTTCTTTCCATTTGATGTGATTCAAGCTCAGGAATACACTTCTCTGAGAAAGGACCAAATATCAAAACTTGTCCTGAGATTTTTATATGAAGCGTTTAATCAAAGATTTTCAAAAGTTTTTGGATTTAACGTTTTTAGATTGAAAACTTTTTCGGATTGTTTTTGTGATGAACTAGAGAAAAAAGGAGACAAAGACATTGAAAGTTTTTTTTCTCTACAAAATGTCGGCTCTAACGTTAAACTACCCGTTTTGTTTTGGGCTAGTCTTAACAAGCATCATTATTTAGTAGATAAAATGTTTGGCATCCTCAGCAAACATAACATCAATACTGACTATCAATTTTATCTTTCATTGTATGGTGAATGCTGTTCAAGAAGTGAGCATATAGTGACAAGACTAAATGGAATGCTTTTCAATAATATGGAAGAAATAAAGAAACGCGTTCTTGATTTTAAAGACGAAGAAAAGAACACAGTTCTACATCTTCTAATAATGTCAGAGAGATCCGACAGCACTGTAGCAGAAGCAGTGGAGAAATTGATTAGAGACAAAGCAAATATTAATGCACGCAACAATTTAAATATGTCACCATTAATGGTTGCTGTCCAGCAAAAAGCAGAAAGATCAGCAGTAATAAAAAGGCTAGTTGAAAGCAAAGCAGAAGTGAAATATAAGGATAGAAATGGAGCTACTGTTTTTCATCATTGCATGAATTCAGAAAATAATGATGAAATATGTGCCAAGAATTTAAAGCTTCTCTTAGGTGGAACCAAAAGTAAAAGGTTATTAAATAGTGACGACAACGATGGAGAATCGGTTTTAAACGTTGCTGCAAAACAAAACAAATATAGTAGGTTATTATGCATTTTAACTATTCTTGAATGTGAGGATGTCAATGCCTCTACATTAAATTTAGATGGATGCTCTCCAGTTTACAATGCTGTGAAGTACTTGAAGGCAAAATCTCTATTTAGTGAATTGGAATGTTGTGCAAGATTGATTATTTTCATTTTGTACGGAGTGAATCCGGACAAAGTAGCAGACGATAAAACAAGTGCCAAACAAATTTGTTGTGCTGAATATAAACATGCCTTAAAAATTTTAAACAACCATGATGCAGAAGCTATGGAAAAAGAACTTACAAAATTAATTGCACTCGTTCAAGAAACAGTAGAAACGAAGGCAAATATAGAACTCCCAGATTGTTCTTCAAAATTGCCAGAAAGTATAAAATTGCTCATACGACAAGGAGTTCACTACTTGGCATCCGCTGAACTATAGTTCTCTTGCAGAAGTTAGTGATCTTCCATTCTATTTTTAGCATAATATTTGCAGAGGACATATCAGCGATTTTTGTGTTTATCGGCGAGTACTTCACAGAATATTTGGGTTTATATTACTTAAGGTAATTTGTAAACGAATTGGTTATTGGAGGCTTTGAAGAAAATTTTTAGACACAATTTGTATTTAAAAGTATTATTATGCATGTTAATGTTATGGATGTGTGCTACTTTAATGATAAAGAAATTAAAGAAATATTTTCAACGAAGGAGGTAGATATTTGTTTGCAATTATCTTTTTATAAAATAAGAATCAGTGAACTTAATAAAAACTAAACTTTATGACTTTGACTTTTGTATCAACTTTTTGCATACTTTTGGAATAATCAGATATATAACTTTGATGGAAATATTATGCAAGCAAACGGGTCAGTTGAATGCATTTTAAGTGTTGAGATTAACAAAATATCCTTACAAATCTGAATAACTTGGTAAGCAAATATGTCATCAGAAGTTATTGGGGAAAAACACACCTTCAAGATTATTTATTTTATTTTGTTTAAATGTATTTGGCAAATTATATAAAGGGGAGATGGTGTCTCTATTATTCTATGCCTATAATACCTGAGCTTTTTAATTGGCCCTTTAGCATTTTGATTTATTTACGTGACTGTACTCACTATGACCACTATGATATGCATCATTTTCCCAGAGTTTTAGTAATATATAAATGTAAAACTGCCATAATTTACTAAGGCTGTCTCAGAAAAACTTTAGTTATTAGAATATCTGGGATCAATTGTTTATAGCATAACCTGGCTATTTTATGTTGATATTGTGGGTCTTACACGCTTAAAACATTTCTATATCCTCAAGCAATCAAATAATTTACCAGTAGCCGTCCAATACACTATAACCACTATATAAATGTAAAAATGCCCGAATTTACAATATGTACTAAGGCTGTCTCAGAAAAACCTTAGTTATTAGAATATCTGGGATCAATTGTTTATCGCATAACCTGACTATTTTATGTTGATATTGTGGTTCTAACACACTTAGAATATTTCTATATCCTCATGCAATTAAAAATTACTAGTAGCCGTCCAATAATAACTAATACCAGTTCAAAAATATATTAACAGACGACAGTGATAACAAAATCGGAAAGTTTTTTTTTTAAAAATAAGGATTTATGTCATGGATATATGCCGAATACTGTTCTATTTGTAACCTTATCGGACAGTTTGAGGCCTGTTAGGTAAATTTGATAAATTTTCATATTGAGTAGTACATGTACATGATATATATCTTATATAAAACATTGCCAAAACTTACCTGGAGGAGTTCAATGATCACAAATTTGGAGTTTAGGCATCCATTGTTTTGAAATCGTGTAATAAGTAGATAAAAGAAATGAGACAGTAAAAACAGTGAGGGAATTTCATTTCATTTGAGTTTCATTTAATATTCATTCAATGGCAGTCGTTTAGCCAAGCAGAACAGAGGTCCGGTGGTGAAGGATTTAAAAAAAAAATTGAATCAATTTTTTTTTATTTATTATGTGCCTAAATTGACATTGATACGGGCATAATTTTTGGTGAAATTTTTATCATCACCATGGAAAGTAAAAATGCGAATTTTATCCCGAGGTTTTAGTTTATATAATGGAAATTCTCAGTTTTTAAAGTGCGGCCATCAGGGAGCAAACCTTTGAAAATTAGGAGATTTGCAGATTCTTTCTTAGAAATAGATTAAATTTTGCTTATATAAAGTGTATATTCAGAAACACTTTAAAAAATTCGAAAGTCTTAATTTTAAGGAAAGTTCAAACTCGATTTTTTTTTTCAAAGATTTGTTATTTTGAAGCAACTTGCGTTTGTTTTCCCTGATTTTTTCCTAATAATTCTTTTGGTTTTTGGACATACACATGTATTTATCCTTTATTTTACTCTTCTTTTTGTTTTTCAAATACCGTCCGATTTTGTTATGATTGCCGTCCGGTAATATAATATCGAACTGGTGATTATTACTATCGGACGGCTACAGGTAATTTTTTAGACTGCAAGAACATAGGCATAATGTCACAGCAATGTTTTAAATATCTAAACACAGAACACAGGCTAGAAAAACAAGCTTAGGGAAAACAAACGCAAGAAAATTCACATGTTATAGAATAGTAAATTTGTGAAGAAGAAAACTGTGTTTGAACATGAAAATTCTATACAGTCATGTATCAATCGCTTAACACATGTTTCATATAAAATAGTTTAGTTTCCTTTTACGTATAATTGAGACATGAAACGTAGCCCTAACTATGTATTCCAACAGGGAAAGAAGAGTTGGAATATGCTTTACAAAGATCAAAATCCTTGAATTGTTGCCGGGGGTGTATCAAACTTTCATATTCCATAGAAACCTATATAGTCGTAATAATATTGAAAGACTCGAACTTACTGAAACGAATGGTTGCAATCAGTTATTATAATTTATCAAAAAAATTATAAATTATTAACAACACAAGCCTACCCTGAGAAAATAGTGGTTAGAGGGGGGGGGGGGGATAATTTCTTGGTGCCTCCTAATACTTTTATTCATTTTTCAATTTGAATCTAATAACTTATGAATAAAATTTCCTTTATTGATACAAAAAGCCCATATAATAACTTATTGTCACAAAATATTATTATTATGGTATGACCACAACATTACCAGTAGAAGAGTTTTCATCACTAGAAGGCAATGATTCGTCACTACATTTACTGTGGATTACCTCTAGATAAACGCTCGCTTTCTGCAATGACGATTGGTTTGATTCAGAGCTATCAAATGGTGGAAGACTACAAATTGGATCGAGATAGACGGGATCTGATGTATTTTCACTGGAATCATTTATCATAATTTTCTTATTTTCCAGTCCTTTGTACCTGTCAACAGCAGTTAATTCGGCTGTGCCGTATCTATTGCTAGTAGCTCTTTTTCGAAAACATTGTTTATAAAGATAAGTAGCGACAAAAACACCAAACAGCGTCACAAAAACGCCAACTAGGATAAAAATTCCGTACAAAATAAAGTCCGCTTTCGTCTCATGCTGTTTTATTGTACTTATCATCTTGGTTGTTTGAAATGCAAGTTCTTCGGTACTCAAAGTGTTTTCAGATACAGCTGATGTTCCAAAATACCTGGTAGCTAAAAAAAAGATGAGTGAAAAATATAATTTTATATGTATGTTAGTATCCTGTATAATTTCAAAAAAATGTGTCTCTTTACTTCTCTGTTGAAGACATCCTAGTACAAAATCGCAAAGATTTTCTCTACATTTGCACCCGCCTTGACAATCTTCTCCAAAGCTAGGATATTTGCACCTTTCTGAGCAGTTTATATTATGGTAACCAACAGGACACTCTAAATTTAAAGCAAGAAATTTCTTTCTCTAAGGTTAAAAAAAAACAAGAAAAACACCGAGGCATTATTCCAATTAATATTGATAAAAAGACCTACTCTCACACATTGCATTTTCTTTGCTCCAAAAGTATCCTGCGTAGCAAAGAGATATCTGACGACTAAAAAATGTAAAACGTAACATGAAAAATTACCTGAATATGCAAAAATGGAAATGAATTTCAGAGAATGCAAAAAATGAGATAACTGTTTTACCTGTCATTGGTGGAAAGAACAAATTTGCACACAATAAAAGAAAACGTAATTAGATTATATTTTGTCATTGTTAATATGCCTATACGATGAAAATAGAAATATATCCAGAATCATTAAAATGTAAATAATTATGAAAAAATTATTCAATGTTTCCGCATGCATAGTTTAAAAGGTTACATGAAATGCGATCTATTTGATTTCAGGAAATACATGTATGTTGGTACACAAATAAGGAAATAAGATTTTTAAAAATATCGAGAATTTCTAAATTATATTGATATTTTAATGACATTACAAATTGCCCATATTACATAATTTTCGCAGTTGTTTGATAGAAATCGCATCGGAAAAAAATCGCTTTATGTTATTTAGTACTCCAAATATTAGAAATCTAAATACATAATGATGGAACAATATTTTGATACATTTGAGAACATTGTTGAAAAGTATTGCGAATTATTAAAAACAAATGAGTAAAATTTTGGTTTCTGTATGCATGTGTTCCATTTCTTTGAAAAGCAAATTGGATATTTAGCATCCAATCGTGCTCCCGACCTCTTCATCAGCGATATCAAAACGGACGCTGCGATAATTTTATTTTATTTTTTTTCTTTAAAATTCAAAACGAAAATTGCCAATCTATTTAAATCTTTTTCAGGTATTTGTTTCTGTGAATTTTTATAACTATATGATGTCTGTAAGAGTAACTAAAAAGAAGAGTCCGTGTAATTTTTGAACGGCCTCCGTACACTTGTATTTTCTTCAGTCTGCAATTGTATCGTCTTTCGTTATTGCCATGCAAAGGCTGACTACATGTTTCTTCATGTTTTGTTTTAACAGGGAACTATTAATATGTCAATTCACTTGTATACTTAATTATACATTACATTTTGAAATAATGTTATCGTCATTTAATGTCTCTGAAGACTTCATTACTCTTTCTATAAGCGATGAAGTAGTCTTTGGTGCACTGTTAACGGGAGAGAGGGGGGGGGTAATTTTTCGGATATATAAATAATATAGAAAAATTTAAAACAACTACAATGTATACGTATGCTTGTGCTGTGCCTCTGCAATAAAAACACATTTGATTACTTTTTTTGTTCGTCAGGGAATTTTTGGTGGTTGATAGTAACCTCAACTGAAAATGTTTGCACCTCACTTCCTACGGAGCCTGCACCAGTATATGGTAACGTCACTACACGAGAAGGAGGGACGTAAAAACAACATACAATCAATCTTATGAATGTATTTAGTCGTATTTTTGACCTACGTACATACATTCGCGTATCACCTTCTTGCGACTTGTTGACTTTTAATGTCGTTTTTGCGACGTATTTGTCGTTTGTAAGACTTATGATCTTATCAATCCGACTATTGCAACTAATAATGTCATACGTACGACAAAGTATCTTATTTTTGCGACATTCTATCATTTTAATTTAGTTTGAATCAATATTTGGTATGTACAAATTATTGTATGTTGTATGTACGGGTGTGATATAATTATTATTTCATAAGTACGACATAATGATCTTGAACAAACGACTTGATATCTTGATATCACCTGAACGTATATTGACACTGGAGAATCTATATTTAAATATCTCAAGCATTCCTCTTACAGGACTTTGATCAAGTTAAGGTAACCGAATCGTTAAGGTGGGTTGAAACGATATATATATGTATGTACTAAAGTGCGCTCTATCGGATGTGTGCTAACAAATATTAAGTAAGTATATCTGATTGAGACATTTATAATTTGTACATCTTGTAATAAAACAAGATTTTCTCAAATCACAAAACTAGAAGGAATACCTGTTATATTTTAAAAGTAATAATCACTTGCAAAGAAAAGGGAAAAGACATAAAAGTTAGAATATTACAGAATAGAAAATCTACTTTCGTTTTAAATTTCACCTTGAAAAGGCATATAAAATATGTTTAATGTTCCTTATTTCTCCTGCCAGACAACTGAGCTTGATTTTTTTGGTTAAGTAGGCAAAAACAAACAAAATTATTGAAGTTAAAAAATGTCATTTATTGAAGTAAATGACGTAAAAGTAGTAAAACATACTTACAATACAAGAAAGGGGGTCAGGAAAGGGGATTTAAATATAAAATATTACATATCTTTATCACAATATTGTACAAACTGACCCCAAGCACTTAAAATATGTTTACTAATTTAGAAGACATTTCATAGGACATATCCTATTTTGACTGCGGATTATATGGACATCGTAACCTCTTGAATTTAAAACCTACTTTAATATATTTTACATGCTTTGAGTTTTCAGGTTGTAGGAATCTTATTAGGGTTATGTATATAAAAGTTAGCCTATCCATACGTGTACGGATAATACTAGACCGAGAGAAACATTTACTTCTGTATTGAAGACCTAGATGTTCTCATGATCTTTGAACATCTGCCCCTGTTTTGTAGTGCATTGGTCACTTCTTACAATTCCTTGTCATGAACGTATCAAATCGAATGATCACAAGCCATGTAATTCTGAAAAATATATGTTTCCTATAGCTATTGTAAAAAGTAAAGTAAAAACACATCTGTATCGGATTGTACACAAATACGCATATATATAACTTTGAGTTCTGTATTGTTACCGCTCTTATTTGACAGAAATTTAAAAAGGCGGAAAAATGTCCATTTCCTTAAATATGCCATGCTTCAGGATTCTTTGCAAAAGATGCAGATTGTAAGAAATATAAACACTTTTCTACTTTTGTCCATCAGTTTACACGTGAGTATATATCATTTTCTGGCATTCTTAATTCAAGTATGGCTTTAAAGAACATTGAATTAAAATGATTTTTTAAATCATTTTTTTCAAATTAAAGAAGTATTCTGTACAGCATTAAAGAGTTGAGGGGAAAAAAAGAAAATGATTTTCAACTTAAAAAAGTATGAGGTGCCGTTTTCGTATTTGTTATCATTAATAATTTTAACTATTCGAATATTCAAATAGATAATATCCTCTGTTCTAAATTGGATAAGTGATATCGCTTATTTGAATATGTGATAGCAACCTATATGCGTTTCCATAAATGCCAATATATATGAATTTAAATATCTATATTGGATTCCGAAACTTCATAAAAACTCTTTTAAATAAATATACATAACGGGTTCCAGTGCAAAGCCCATTTCTTTACTCCCCATTAAGATATTAACAAATTGAAGGAGAAACTTCAGGCGTGCTGTGTAAGAAATGGTGTAAATCAAATGTGGATACTAAAAAATCTCAAGGAATTTTCGGAAAATTCGAAATCACAAAATTTTCGATATGTTTTTCTGTGGAGTCGATATATTATTAGATTGACTGAACGAAAGGGATACACTCTTTATCTTATGCTTAGTGAGTTTAACAGGAAAAGCATTTGAAAATAATAAAAGCAAAATTGTAATTTTTATAAAGATATCATATTATAGAATTTTTGGATTTTTTCCTCAACCCAGTGACTTCACAATATGATAATTGATTTTTTTATAATAAAGAATATATATTAAATAGAATGTTTTGTGCGTTGATCGATCATGTCAGTGGTCAAAGAGAACAATCGAAGATGTTACCAAATGCCCATTAACTGTTGAAGAAGTGGAAAAAGCCGCAAATATAAAAAATTGTAAAGCCTTGGCTCAAAAGCAGAACTGCACCGATCCTTCAAATTTCAAATATCATTGTGTGATAAATGAAGAAGAAGACTCACTGGTAGAGGTCTGTGCTCCAGCATACTACATTCATGGTGAGTAAAACATTATGTATAATTTAACATAATACACATGTAAATAAGGTGGACTAAAAATAATTTTGATAATTTTCACAAAAAGCAATCATAATCTAATACCATTTACTAATTTACAGGTTTTTGCACAGAATTTAATGTGAAAGGTCTACTGATACAACCGCATTTCAGCATAAAATGCAACAATATTACACCATGCTCAGAACGTTATTTATCAACATTAGCATATCAGTGTGAGTAAACAACAATTAAAACCATACATTTTTCAGAGTGGTTAATTAGTGAAAAAACACAAAGTTACTCATCAATAAAAAAAAGTGATACAACGTCAAGAAACCATTGTTTTTATTTTCTCCTCCGGGAAACCATAATACATGTATATATGTATATTTATGATATACAGATAATGTTATCTATGTTGAACAGAATAGGTAACACTTTGTACATACACGATGCAATCATTTTTTTGCGTACTTAAATTAAGTGGCACTGTGCACTGCCTTACGTACGTCTCCATATCAAGCAGATATTTGAGTTTTGGTGCTAGCAAACATGACCAGTTTAATATACCCATAAATGATTATCAGTTGAAATTCACAAAATTTACAAACTGCCAACAAATGCAGTTCTGAAATTATGTTTATATGTAGTATAAATTTATGATCATATAGGTCACAGTACCTTAATTTTAAATTGTATTTCTACTACATCACATCACAATTCTTTTTTTTCAATTTCAAGAAACTGACAAATGAAAGTTATGCTCAAGAAGTAAAAAGACTGATTAAAGAAGCCAAGGTTTGATTTATAATGAGTGATAATATAATTATTTATTTTATTTACATAATGAAGTTCCAAAGTGTTATGATGTGGTAAAGAAGCGTACTTTTTCCCCCCTGATTAATGAGACAACGACCATTTCATTTGATTCATCTGACAGTGCAAAAGGGGACGGTGTCATTAAATGGCAAGTTTATGTTACCACACTTTAAGTTACAATTTATTTACACAATCTGTGCTTTGCAGATATAAAAAATAAACTTACTGTGTATGTTTGCAATATGCATGTGACATAACAAATTATACGATAACATATATAAGAACACACGCCATTGATATTTATCTTTCCCTACTTCACCTGACTGTGATGTTGTTAATGTGATATGTAGATTATCAAATTAGGCTTTCATGATTTAAAAAAAAAACAAAATGAGACAAAGATTTACCAAATAATCATGCATGTGCAAAATTGTTTCCTTCGGTTGATTTTTGTCTTTCAAACCAAACATGTAAAATCAATTTATACAAAGGTATTGAAAAAAATATCATTCTCCTTCTTATTTTATCAATTTGATGTCATTTTATTTTTTCGACATGTTTTAGTACGTTTGATTATATGTCATCAATCATATCATGATATATCTAAAGAATCTGGGGGGATAAGTGAGTCAAATGCCCACAAGGATTTTGTCGCTCTGTAGGCATTTCGGAAATTTCATAGTTGTACGATTTACCTAAACATTTAAACTTTGTACATCACTGTCCAAATGACAATATCTATATGTTAACAGTATTTTTAACGTGATGCTTTTCATATTGCGTGTTAATTTTTCTATCAAATGATTATGTCTTCAGGGTTTGGGAGATGGTACGCTTTACTTTTCCTTTTAACTGTTTTTGAATACAGAACAGTCATATCGCGCTGGCTACCCATGATTGAATTTGTTTACATTTTAATCGTGTAATGCAGTCTTGAACTAAATGCATTTATGCCTCCTCCTTCCCTACCTACAAAATCAAAATTAGACAAACTCACAGGTATGTTGAAAAAAGTTTATTGATCAAAATATAATAAAATTTTTGATCAAATAAAATCATAAACTTGTACAAACTTTTTTTAAAAAAATAATTCCAGTATAACAAAATGGATTTCAAAATGTTGATATATAAATTACAGTTTCCTTAAACAAAAATGGATTAAACATTATAAAATTGTTAATTCAGTTCCATTGTATCAAAATGGATGCTACAATGTAAATTTGCAAATGAAGTTACAGTATCGCAAAGGATGGATTTGTCAATGCAAAGGAACATCAGTAATCCGCAAACATATCACATATAAAATCAAAAGAGTAGAATAATACAAAAATTACAAGAAACTAAATATCTGCTTGATATCCACAAAAATGCATAACATAATGAATATCTATAAAGCATGTATCAAAAAGTATCAGATAAGTGTATTTACACAAAAATCGACTAGTGGCAACAGGTTAAAATGTTATTTCACATGTAGATTGAAAACATGTTTATTATAGGTAAAACATTAATTGACCGTAAATAAATTCTTCATCTTATTTATTCATTTTGTTTTTTGTAAAAAAAAAATGTTTATCTAATTTTAACCTGAACTTAAAAAAATCGTAATTCGAACACTCGCGACAGGTAACTGGTTGCTTCAACTCCGCCGCTATGACTACTGAGCCACGAAGTCGCACAGACATTTCCCTTTAAATAGCAAACAGTTCTATATATAGCAAACGCACAACTGGACTTAGAGTTTTTGAGAATATGTTGCGAAATTTAAGTAGGTAAACTAACTTTTTTATATAAAGTGGGTCTTCGTACCATTTTTTTTTAAATGTTGAGAGATACATTCTTCCATACCCTTTGAATATTTGTTTACAAAAAAATGGTACGAAGACCCACTCCATATAAAAAACACAGTTTTAACATTCAATGTCTATCATTTTTACGGTTACTAAGTGTATAACTACTTTAACGGGTTAATTACAATCAATTTGTAAGTAATTTGATTCAAGTTTAACCTTTACTGTATGCATACGGTTATAAATTACTCCCAAATTTAACAAAAAGAGGAATTTGCAAGATTTTATTTAATCGATATTTTACTTGCCCTTGCGTAGGCATATGACTCGCCTAATCCACCCAGATTCTTTATTCTAAATTCAAAGACGACTTGATAAGCAGCCTTCATTTAAGAGAGTGAATATATATATAAATGCCATGCATGTGATATCATAGAAAGCTTTATTAATAGGTGGGTATTGCGCAGACTGTGTATTATACATGTACATTGTATATGGGGAAAGTATTTTGAGAAGCACACTACGTTTTCTTGTTCTCTGTAAGATTAGTAATTTCCTCTCTTCCCTTGAATCAATTTGTTTTCATTATTCCTAATTTGAGCTCTTCTTCAACTTTTCTTTAGGTACATATATTTCCTGATAGTCTTTGTAATCACAGCATGTTTTGTTTTTGTACCTGTCTTTGTTGTGTGCATGTGCGGATACCGCAGGAAGCAAGGTAATTTATTGCAAAGAATCCACTCGATGTATTTCATTTTAAAATCTTAAAAATGGAATTAAATGGATGTTTTTTTTAAATCAAATTAGGCTGGATGAAAATTGCATGAATTATATGAGTTTATAAATATGAAGTTGAAGCATATGTATGTGTTTGTGAATCTGCGAATGCTTAAGCGGACTTAATTATAGAGAGTGAAAAAATTATACTTTGAAAAATACCTCTTCATTCTTGTGAAGATGTTATGACATCAAGCCGTTGAAAATTTGTTATTTTATTTCAGTTTCATTTAAGATAACACTTTTTTTTACAGAACAACAACGAAATGACTTAAATGAAGAAGGTATTATGTAATTTATATATACCTGCAATAAATTATCAATCCTCAATGAGTCAAGTTTGTTTGATTTCTGGTTTTACTTGTAGTGTGTCACATAATACATGTATGAAGAAAAGAATTCTAAGTTGTGAAAAGTACAAAATTTTACTTTTTAGGTGTGGTATCCCAAGAATTGCTCCGAAAAGAGGCTAAGAAGGGTATGTTTATATTTTATTCATGCAATGATGTGAATTGTAAAGTAACAGTAGGAAATATACAAAGATTTCAAGTTGTCCATGGTCGTGAATAACAATTCGTACTCAGAAGCATTTGTCAATATTCCAAGAGTGAAGTATGTATACAAATCATTTTCTGAATATTAAAACATACCGGTATATCATAAGATCAAAGATCTATCAAATAAAACAAACTTGAGTAAACGTATACTAGTTACAGGATGAGTTTACAGGAATGCAAGGTGGATTGTAGTCATTTACAAATCGCAACCATGAATACATATAATTAAAATGAAATTAAACTTCCCATTAAGGGAAATAAAATTTCAAATTTATTTTTCTTGATTACAGTGTAATTTTTTAAACGCGAAAGGTGATTAGTCTTTGAAGAAACTAATTTGTACCCCTCGGAACAATGAAACAGATCGCGTGTGCAGTTTAAAAACAATTATTTGTAAATCAACATTTATAGTATTAAGATATTTTTTAAAAGTTCAGATATTTTTTTTATATATATAACTCGTAAATATTTTACTTACGGAAAAGAAAAGTTCATCTGTCCAAGTACTTTGATTATGTTTATAAGAAACAACGAATAATGTAAAACGATCTGATCTGTAATTATGCCTATAAAATTCATTATCTTAAAGTGAATTCTTCTATCAATATTTTTTGCAAATCTTGTCTTTAAGTTTTAACTTTATTCATAGTTGAAAATGATTTGTGACAGTTGAGTTTATTTATTATAGGCCGCAGCAGCGGCCGATCTATTTGTGGTTGTGTTAGAAAGTGCACATGGGGAATTGAGAAGATATTTTTTATTAGTTCAGTAGAATAAGTCTTTTATGATAACAAGTAAAAACGTAGTATTAATTGCCGATATTATATTTCAAGTTCATTATCATTTCTCATCAGATAATTGATAATTTATAGTTATATAAAAATAGTTTACAATATTTATACTCCCCGGCCTGGGTGTGTGTAAGATATGAAAGGAAATCGTCATGATTTTCCGGATTATAATGACGTGGTATAGAATGGTGCATTAAAATTAAAAAAAAATTAACTTGCGAAAATTGTTTTGAATATGCTCTTCAGCTTCAAATGATAAAAAGATATATTTCTACATTTTGCTTTGCGGCTTGCAGCATAGCCAACTCTGCAGAAACCATGAGCATTATCACGTGGCCAAGATTCAGGGTATCAGCTGCACATGGTTCATCTTGAGAGGCCTATATATCTTCATTTTGATGACATTAAAATATTATCATTCAGCAATGATTATTTTTTGTTTGTTTGGGTTTTTTTTTTACATCAATGGATCTATTTTTTAGCAAATTCGGTATTTAAAATGTCCATTTATTGAATTCCTAAAAATTATTTACTTTGCTTTGAAGAATGAATAACAATGAATCAACTACATGTATTTCACCTTTAAATATCTTGACGTGCTTTCCTTGCATGGGCCCTTTAAAACTGAAACGATCGATATTTAATTACTAAATTTTGTTTGCGGCCAAGTTGATGCTTTGCATCAATTACTTGTGTATAAATTGTTAATGATACACCACTGTCAGACATATTTACGATAAAATTTAGTTTAGAAGTAGGCTGTCACCAGTTTCACATTTTACACGTTTACCAGAATAACAACATGAAGAGTAATTGCGATGAGAAGTGAATATAGGCAAACACCTAAGTGTTCACTTCTTGAAAGACGATACGCGGATGATCTACTTCTTTGGAAATACTTCGAGGGAAAATTGATCATCTGCATGAATCTAAACACTTTATATTGTTGATTTTCTGACATTAAAAAGATGATTTTGTGATACTGAAAAATCCAATTGAATTTCCTTTATCAAAAAATGATTTTTTAAGTTTAAAATTCGAAGTCTTCGTATAAAAAGAATCCCGTTTATTATTTTTTGATGTCAGAAAAAAAGATTTGTTAGATGTAAGAAAATTTTTTTGATATCATATTAGAGCAAGGAGTCTTTTTGTGAACACAGTGCTTACATTACCTCTGGGATTCTAGTGGATTCGGTAAAGCTAAATAAATTATTTTAATAAGCACTTTTTCTTTATTTATTATCGATTCTACTGGTTACTACTTTCATTGCTTGAAATAATAATAATTTTATAAATATTTTGTGATCTTTCTTTAAATTTCTTTAGAAATAACTGACATTTCTTCCACTCTCTATATGTTAATATTCAAAACTTTATATCTGTTATCTTTATATCAATAACAAACTTAGTTGTACTGTTCTTTTATTAATAATTTTTTTTTACAGAAAGACGATCTGAGTCCAAAATGGAAAGCGATAGTAAGCATTTCTTTGTTTCTTATGTTTCGTATGAATTCACCGTTGGTGAATGTAAAATATTTGGAGTTGATGTAATTGTTTTATTTACATGTTTCGTTTATAATAATAGACGATTTCTCGTTTAAATGAAATATTGATGTTCGTAAATTTACTTTTAATTTGTTGTATTCATTTTTGAATGATATCTTTAAACCTTAGAAAGAAACACATAACTCTTAAACAACCCCTCTTTTCCCGCCATTCAATCGCAGTGTGTTAGCCCCCCTTGTTCAACAATAGCAGCTCGATTTTTACGAAGCATTAGGTTTATCAGGCTCTTGATCTGAGCATAAAGAATCTTCTTATCAATTTTTAATTATCTGTTTTTCAAATACTGAAGTAGATTTTTTCTAACCTGGCCCAGTGTAGTAAATATTGAACGTCTGGTATTAAAACTGCCATTCATGGTTTTGAAATTCATGAGCATATTAAGTTGCTTTGTAGTGCATATTTGCAAAACATAATATGCAACTCTCCTTTACTTTAAGCTTTGAGAATTTAAAGCAAGAGCCAAAAATCAGAGCTTTCAGTAATTTTAAGGAAATACTGGCATCATATCGGGAAAAGAATTTTTTCGGAACAACATTACATTAATTGATTAATTGTATATTGATTAACGTCCAATTCGAGAAGTTTTCACACATATCAAGAAGTCTTCGTATACCGGTGAAGGGATTCACATTAAGATCTATACTCGGCAATCAGGGCCATTCAGCAGTTACGGTTCTTACGCTTTAAAGGTCATATCCTAAAACCTGTCACTTCTAATGCTGAGCGCTCGGTGAAGGAACAGTCATCAGCTATGTTTACGTTTTAGGTTTGACGCGGTGCTGCGATCGAGAATCGAACCCGGCCTCTTGATCAAGATGTGAACGCTCTGCCACTAGGCTACGGTTGAATATCAATGCAATATTATACATTTATTAACTGAGTTCAAGGGCAACATGCGTTTTGTCGGATCCAAGAACCAAACTGTTTGCCTGAGGCCGTTCGGCCGAAGGCAGACAGTTTGGTTGGAGGGTCGACAAAACGCATTTTGCTCGAGGGCAAGTCAATATATGTTTTGAAATACCTTTCATTTTTTGTTGTTGTTGACACTCGTACATGTATTTTGTACTGTCATCGTAATGTAACCTTAGGTCCGTCACTTTCGAACATCAACGAATGAAACTGAGATTAAGCTCCGCCAATTCTGTGAAATGACGGGTCCAACATCTCTTCGAGGGGTCCAACATCTCACCCAGCCGTTTAACATCGATTTTTTAAGACCGCTCAGCAAAACATTAGAAATATTAGACTTTTTTCCGCATCGATTTGTGTAGGAACAACATTTTAAAGGTTTAACAATATACATTTATTGAGTTCGAGGGCAACATGCGTTTTGTGGCGCCCAAGACAAAACAGTTCGGTTTAAGGGTCGACAAAACGCATTTTGCACGGGAACTTAGTCAATACACTTAATGTTTTGTGATATCTTTCATTTAATTTATTTTTCAAAATGTATTTTTTACTGTCTTCAGTGATGTATCATCAGGCCTGTCACTTTTGATCACCAACGAATGAAAATGAGATAAATCTCCACCCATTCTATGACTAAGAGGTCCAACATCTCACTCAGCAGTCAAAATCGATTTTTTTATGCTCGTTTAGCAAAACATTAGAAATGTTAGAATTTTTTCGAATAGATTTGTTTAGGAACAAATTTTTTAAGGCATTACAGCTACAAACCCTTGAAAACCTGTGTTATTTCAAATGTTTTTATCGAACATGCAATTTGGGATTTTTGTTAAGAGGCCTCAAAATCAATTTTGTTACTGAAGTGGAAATCATTCAATCTTTAAATTACTGATTCGGCCAAATTAAGGATGACCTTATTTTATAACCTTTATGCATGTATAATTTTCCCCTTGAAATAAGGATGTTGTGTTTCGTTTATGTTTCGGTCTATATATCATTTGCCTTTCATGTTACAGGTATCTCAAGAGAATCGATAACAGATGAACTAGTAGGTAAGTTTACAATAATTTGAAGTTAAAAGTGCGTAATGTTTATGACAAAATATCGTTCTTTCCTCTATAAAAGGGGAATTTTACCCATTTCGAACGTAATTTTTGATACTTTTTTTAAAAAAAAATGATATTGGATTTATCTCCAAATAATACCTGTCTATCTTTCATCATTTAATTTATACACAATCAAATTTGAAGTAGAAATAAGTTTGGTAAAAAAGAAAAAGACAGAAAATAAACAAAGAACATATATGAAAATTTAAAATGAATCTAATGTCTCACATTTTGGTATTCTTTCAATAGTTGTTGCTCCCGGCAGACTGTTGATAGACATGTATCACGAATCAGGTAAAAAATAACCATCTTTAATTTTTTCAAATGTTAAGGTCCTATAGTTTTGAGTAAAATGAGAACTGTTATTGCAATAGTTAGTGAATAAACCATGATAATATGATATAAATAGTTCATTTTGAAAAGAGGAGGCATGAAAATAGTTAAGTTCAATTTCTTACGAAGGAATAGGTGTATTTTAAAACCTCTGTACTTCTGCCTTTTAAACTCAACCTGGGTATGTTAGGGCTTCACTTGGATATCTGCAAAACATGTTATCAACTGAACTTAGTCATTTAGATGGTATTTTAAGCGAAGTATTTTATACAGGAGTGATATCCCTTCACGAATGCAAAAGGAACATATAAAATTATAAAATATAAGTATGATTAAAATCAGATATACAGATTTATTATGAAATAGTTTTCCTATGATGATGACAGGCTACGTTTTAAAATTTTACCCAGTATTTCCTCCACCGATTTAAACAAGAAAGATTCAAAAGTTCAGGATATTATGTATATTAGTTCTCATGCTCCGACAATATAGAAAGATTGTATTATATAGAATATGAAAAATGCTGGAAGAATATTATGACTAGTATGGCTTGATAAAAAATATTCCATCACCTAGGTACAACATAAAACACTTTTTGATAGCTTTCAGTGGGCTCCAGGTTATTATTTCTGTGACCGGAGAGTATGATTCTAGCAACATTTTTCATGTTGTACGTAATTATTTTATAAACAGAAATGAATATTTCCCGGGGTTTGCTAGACCTTTAACTTATCATGAAGGCATATTTTTCTATTTACAGACGTCACACAATGATATTCTTGTTCGATGCTCGTTTTTCCTCAGACTTATTAACGTGTGCATTGATAAAAATATTTCATGCTTTAACCATAGCTTAATTTCCCAATTAATCAATGCTGAAACCTTGCCGAATAATGATCTGGGTTCTGCCATTACATACCTGCGTTTAACCTCAACTTCATTTATAAAGAAGTTTGCTCAAATTTGAAATAATTATTGTTTTTAACCACCAGGTATGTGATTTTGAAAGTGCAGGATCTTTTACGAACGAATACAAGCATCCTTTTATTGAATATGTGGTTCAGCACATCATCTTACTTATCCATTATGAACAAGAATGCTTTTTCAATTGAAATGTTTAAATTACGTTTTATTTAAATAAACATTTTGTGTCATGTAGTTTAAATTTTAAGTTCAAATTTTGCTTTACTAGAGGAAGAAAGAGAACAGTATGCAGTGGAAAATGAAGGTTTGTAAAAATTATAATGAATAAATTTTAAATAATAATTTTTCAGTAAAAGAAAGCTATAAAGGAACACTAGATAGGTCCTAAAATATTGGATAAAAAGTAAAACAAACTCTTCCACTGATTTCGGTCTTAAATGTACATGTATGATATATAAATGAACTGTTAAAAGCATTTCCATGTTACAGAGAATATATAAGGAAATATTTCTTATATTTTTTTCTCTTTTTTAAGATCACACCAAGTCCTATCTCAATGCTTTTCAACATTTTGAAAAATATTTCGTGAAAACAAAGGTATTTACAGTCTGTAAAAATAAGTTACAAACAGAAGGCGTTGCTGTTTTAGTTGGTCCGCCGGGTTACGGAAAAACTAACATTGGTATAGGCATCATGAAAGATGATGTTTACAAAGATTGGAAAAAGCGAAAAATAAAGTCTTGGGCAGAATTTAGATTTATAAATTCAGAAGAGAATTCTCTCATTTATATTGATAATATATTTGACGGGTTCATGTATCATCATGAATTGGAAAAATGGTGGAATATATTAAATAAAACCTTCTATGATAATATTTCACATAATCCGAATGATGAGCAAGATGAAAGTGAATTTTTTGCAAATAAAGGAGGAAAGATTCATCTTTTTATAACCGCCAAAGAGAGTGTATTAACAAAAGCACGTGAGTACAACAAGATCAAGAGAACCCCAGTATTTAAAAGAAACTGTATTATAAATGTTACAGATTATGGCTTCACAGCTACAGAAAAAGACGAAATCTTAGATAAACAATTTGAATTTGCAGAGAAAATATTGGATATTCCAAGGCCGTTGGTAGATCAAGAGTTTAGAAATAAAATGAAGGAATTAGTTGGTCCTATCGGCTTTCCACTTTGCGCTCATCTTTATGCGTGTGAAAAGGATCATAGAAATACTGGCATTGACTTCTTTCTTTTCCCGATCAATTATCTTCGGAAACAAATAAAATATGAAATTGAAGGTGATCAAACTCATGGCGTGAAAACGTTACTCTTATTGCTATTCTTAAGTGAATGTTTGTCTCTCTCAAATATATGTGTCGAAAAACTTAACATTAGTGATTCTGACAAATGCAAACGGTTTCTTGAGAAGAATTTTTCGGAGGAGATGCTTGAAAGCTTTGAATCTTTAAACTTTGAGGATTTAGCTACTGTTGCGAATAAATTAACAGTAACTTTAATTGGTAGTGAAACAGAGTGCATGTATCAATTAAAGCACCAAATTATTTTTGATGCAGTCGGTTTTTATTTTTGCACCGAATGTTTCAATGTTGCAATAAAATACTTTCCAATAGGTGCTTTTCAAAAGCATGAATATATAAATCCTTCAGAAGAATTTTGTGACATTTTTTCTTCTCGAATCATTGATGAAGTGCATAGTGGGAATGTTTCTGAAGCCCTCTCTTGTGTTGCACTCAAACAATACCATTTTGCACAACGCGTTTGTGATATTTTAAAATCAAAAAATGATGTGGAATCGTTTCTTCTTGAGACGGATTCAGTTACGGTCTATCCTCTTCCATCTGTATTTTGGATCAGCAAATACGAGCATATTATTTTATCGAAGTTGCTTTATGAATTGGTTCAAGAAAAGGGTCTTCTAGTTGACCACACTTTTTATCTAGCTCGCTTTGGTGACTGTTGTGCAAATGACGAAAATTTTCTTAGAAATACGGCAAAAACTGTATTCAATTCGACGACAGAGATTATGAATTGTGTCTTTCAGTACAAGAATCACAAAGGAATGACAGTGTTGCACATTGTCCTTACATCCGAAAGACCTGATTATGATGCATATTTGATAATTAAAAAGTTACTGGAGGACTGCAAGTCCAAAACGTTGTGTGATTCAGACAAACAATGTGCCGTTTACTTTGCTGCAAATGAAGTACGATACAGTAGAATTTTATGTATTTTGGCATTGTTTGATAGCAAAATAGATATTAAAAAATCTTTCCCAAATGACACATCTCCAATTCATATAGTTTTGAAACTAATGAATGATAATTCTCATAAAAGTGTTCCTTTTCAACTAGAAATGCTGATCCGTGTTTGTATTTTCATAATATATGGAGTGGATTCGAAAATGAAGAAATCAAATGATCGTCGGTCAGTAAAAGATATGTGCAAAAATACAAATTGCAAATATATAAAAGAATTGTTATGCTCAAACATTTCAAAAAGTCAAAAGAGAATGTCAGAGCTTATTCAAACATTGTTGAGAGAACTTCCTGTCAAGGACCGAAACGAGAAAGTGCTTGAGGAACATGTACTTAAATCTGAGGGGCGATTGGATAAATCGCTAAGAAATGCAATTTCTTTGGCTGTACAGCAACTAGCCGGATATATACATCTGTCGGAAAATGAACGTTGAATACTGTGTTAAGAAACGAAAAGTGTTAAACATTTTCAGTAAACCCTATGTTTTATTAAATTTTTCCTACCCCTAAAATAGTTAATCTTTACCATATTAACATCATTCTGTATTATTTTCAAAGTATCTTATTGTATATTAAATATTTACATTTAAATGCATTTATATGACGGTTACCAAATTGCTTAAATAAAAAGCATGACAAATGATAGTATATGATTGTTTGAAAATGTTTATGGAGCACATCATACATATAGATGTATATGTACATCTACAAGTAATTACAGTCCTTTGATCGAATAAATTTTCAATATCTCTGCAAAGAACGGTAATTTGTATTTTTTATTCCAGGTGTAAGTGCGTCATTTTACCTTTGTTAACCTCATCTATTATTTTAAACACATGATATGCAATCCTAAATAAAACTTTTGATTTACACTGTATACCAATATTTGTATTTTTTATAATATACATGTATTTATCTATTATATTGTTTTTTTAATAAAACATATTTACATTAATTAAAAGTGTCAAATAAAAGGAAAGTCACAAGCCAATATCTGAAATGAAATCTAAATAAATGTAAAATTTATGAAATGCTTAAGAAAACTGCTTTAGACTTTATTTTAGATGTATTTATTTGTTGTTAGATTGTATGCATTTCTGTACCGGATCTTCATTCATTAGATCTATTGGCAAGTTAATTTAGCATTTTACGATATATAATCCTACTTTGTTTTCTTTTAAAGCGCTAAGCACGCATGCGCAATTAGGCGCTAAGCGCGCATGCGCAAGCGCTTTATAGGGTGTCTTCAGTTTCCATTATGATTTTCACGATCTTTTTATCAACGCCCTCTACCGACCGCATTTATCAGGGCTGCATTCAATACCATTTTTGCTAGTAAACGTAAGCGTAGTTTAATATATTGCTATATACCCAGTTGTTTTGAAAAGACAGCTCGTCTACCGGTCAGATGTTAAAATAAATTCTATTTTAAATCATTTCATTAATAACTAATATATGGATAAAAGCATGCAAAAATTGAATGTTTGAGATTTTACGATTAGATAAAGAACATTCCTTCAGTTAGTTTACTGGTATATACAGAATGTCGCGTGATGCAAAGTGTCATCCAAGTAGGTTTGCAGGATTTCAAATTTAGCATAACTATTTATAATGTTTATTCTTTACGTGGCTGCTATTCTTGTTCAAATTTCGTATCTGTACTTAATATTTATCTAAAACTAAGATCCTGAACGCGCCCTCTATAAATACTGATATAATTATGTAAACAAATGGGTTCTATAATGCTTTTGCAAGGGCTACTATTGTTGACCTAAATTATCTCCGTGTTGTAATATGGTTCTTTTTAAAGGTGATTATATATATATTTTTAAATAATGTATATTATGTTCCCAAAATGACGCACTTTATTACGCGGAGTGATACATTTTTAAGCGTTTAGACAGCCTACAAAATACAGCGCCACTTAGGAAGTTATATAACTGTACCAGGGACCTATGTCCCTGACTGTACTAATCGTCTAAAAATATACAACAGTTACTGGAAATCCCCCACTCTCTGTTGGCTACTATAGTGAAGGAGTTATCATAATAGGTGTTAATTAGTACAGTTGATATTTATAATTTAATTTTCGTATGTTCGGAAATCCTGCGTTAGTGGATAAGTGCCGTTCTTATCTCTGAACAATATGTATAATATGGTGCGTATTAATAAGTATAGGCAAACACTATAATATTTCACAAATCTTATTTCTGCAGTGGTAATTCGAAAAAGTAAATGACCATACATTTTTATAATATATATTGATACAAGTACCGAAAAAAGATTTATGCGTACGTGTATTTTAAAGTCTCATTAAGATTTCATGATTATTAAAAAATCAAATTGGAATTAAATCTTTTAGAAGTATAATCCCATAAAAAATTATTTAATTACGTTCTATATGTAGTTTGTATCTACATTTTGAAGTTTCATTACATAATTTTTCACGCCCTCTTCTGCATAAGCCTTTATTTGAAACAATGTAAATACAAACAGGGAATTTTATTATCACACTTGCATTTCGCAGGGGGCTATAATGATTTTACAACATCAAATTATCCTTTAGTAGCACAAACTTGATTAACGCATTTATATATAGAGTCTACATTTGTTTTGTAGGTTTTTATTTTTAGCAAAATAATTTGATGCAAAAAAATCCTTTTTACTGAACGCTTGGGTGTTGGGCGTTTTAATGTGGTATTTTTTTCTAAATAGAAGAGTATTTGATTTAACATTTTTATTAAATAAAAATATTGACTAATCGGCTTTAAAAATGTCGGTAAAAATAAATTATAATTCATGTGTATGAGAGTCAGAGATGAAGGATCAAAGGTACTTCTGGACAGGACTCCCCCTTTTATATTGTACACATGATGAATAAGGGTAATAAATATAATTTGTGAAAATGTCCAACAAGCCCTGGGGTTGAGTATTGAGGGGTGGGGATCCTGTCCACAAGTACTTGTGTGAAGGATAATACATGTAATGGTTTTTCATCGAAATGACAAAGAGACAAATGTAATATCTTTAAACCCATCGATATATACATTGGCAAAGTAATCTGAAAAATGTAGTAAAGTCTTCGGGGATTTTTGTAACATGATGATATCAACATGCTGCACGAGGTTGGATTGGTATCACAATAAATGTAAAATATGAAAAAAAATTGTCATCATGTTATTGAAGTGTAGCATATTCAAAACAAAATTTAAAAGTTCAATTTTTATTCATTATTTATATACCCAGAAACGTGTAATGATTGTTTGTATATATTACAAGCTCCTAAGCTTGGAATTTTCATTTTGTAAAACCTTATTTATATAAATTATAGCTTTATAAATATTTATGAAGAGGAGAAAAATTTTAAAATATACTAAAAACCGTTCAAACAAAATATTATGCCATATTTTAAAAATCGTTAATTCATAATCCTAATATATTTAATTATTAAAGATGGAACAAATGAAAAATAATACTTCATTTCTCCCTGTACAGTTTCAAACACAACCGCCAATAGATCGATCGCCCCTGAGGCCGATAATAACAAATAAAGATGACGACAGCCATTTTTGAATTTTAGTACGAATAATATTCTTCATATTCTTGAAAGTAGAATGATTTGTTGTTCAAAATTTCATTAGAAGGGTTTGTGTTCTCCTTTTTACATTCCAGAGAAAGATATCAGGAACTTTTTTTTGTATTCCAAATTTGTCGAAAAACAATAAAAGAAAACTAATGCAGAGCTTATTATCTGAAATTAGGTAAGTCAGAAGAAAAAAAAATCGGATTGTAATATTGATATTAATTGAATTTTATCGCAGAAATCTGGATCCACAATGCAACATAGGCAATCTTGTTCTTCGAAGACGGGTAACAGTGTTACTGTCATATGGTGCGACAAACAAAGAAGGGTTAAAAATGTAATATCACTTACTTAAATAAGATTGCACAGAGATAGTAAATAAGATTCTCTTTGTTAATTTTTTTTTCATTTTTTAAGACTTTGTTATAGTAACACAACTTCCATTTGATGTAATTTAACGTAACAGTCAAGGCGATCAAGAGGCGGGTTTAGTTGAACCATGCTTAGCGCTTCCCAGTACTGTCCGTACTTTGATTTAGATTTCAATTTACTAAGTATTATTTTACGCAGCCAGTATTTGTACCAACATAACTGGGAATCAAAGATCCTTGCACATTACAGTCAACCAAATATTTTTCGCGTTTTTAGTTCATCTAGTCATATCGTCTATGATCAGTAGAAGTCTACTTGTACATTGAAGGTTCCTGGTAAGTTATAGATACAATATTATAAGGCATATATACATAGTAAAACGTATGAAAGCATATTTGAAAATGTCAAAGAAATTTTGCACCAACAATATTACTCTAGGCCAAACGTTTCTCTTAAAAAAGATTGGGGGTTGAGGGTGGTAACAAAGTGTAATATTAGCTTTAGAAAAATGTACCAAGCCAGGTGAATTTTAAGTGGAAGATCAAAATGACCAAAAAATAGCAATATCACACAGGCTGATTTTTACCATTTAGCTTTTCCTAATAAAATTCATCAGGCTTGGTATATTTTTCTTAAGTTTATATTACACTTTTTGCACCATGTTAACTTATTCTGAAATTTGTTTTCACCTGTAAACCTTTGCTAAATGTGAATTGTCTATATTTGTTTTTTCATTGAATATTATTACTTAATATTTTTCAAGTCTTTTTCATATTCCAGTTCTTAGGAGAAAAATTTTAAGAGCAATCCATATTTCTAAATATGTGACATGATATTAAATCTTTTTCAAAGAAAAAAAAATGCTTGTTTCATCTGTCCTTAATATTTATGAATGTCGTTTGGTCACCTGGCGCATGCAGAAAGCAAGTTACCTTACATAATTTCACAGGCGCGGATCCAGAAATTTTTCAAAGGGGGGGGGTTGAAGTTATTTTCAAAAGGGGGGGGGTTGAAGGCAAAAACAGTTAAAACGTACGTTGTACACATACACGTAGTTTAATAACTCAATAGAATTTCGATACAGGGTAGAGTATGGTTATTGAAAGTGGGAAGTTGATCAATTTGGGAAAAACTACTTGTATACATTACCAGAAAGTTTTTGAAAAAAGAAGGAAAATAAGTCTCCTACTCTGAAAATCCTATTTTGTAAAGGGGTGGGGTTTTATTTTGTTTCTACAACCGAATTTCTTTATATATTACAACATTAGCCTTTCACCTTACATTTTGTACAGTAAAACACAACCAAAAAATTGGAACTTTCTTATTACTCTTTCTTTTTTGCAAATCCAAAGGGGGGTTGCAACCCCCGTAACCCCCCCCCCTCTGGATCCGCCACTGTTTCATGTTATTAAAACATCACTTTACAAGGATTTGATCTATCATAAGAAAATTTACTGTAAATTATAAATACATAAAATAAACATTTAAAATCAGTGTAAATAAATTATTTTATATATGGTAAATAAGTAAGGCTAGACATATTTTTTAAAAGCTTAGTAGCTCAAAATAAAACCTTTTTAAAAAAAAAATGGAGAAATGTACTCGTGTTAGTCTTATAAGTATGTTTTCCACATTTGCTTGTTTGTTCTGGGTCATGGTTTAACAGTAGCCCTCAACAGTATATAGATATAACCATGATTTGCCTTTTTACTAAATAAATAAATTTCTTTTTCAACATTTGACAAGCCGTCACAATGTGCAACTCTTGACGTGAAAATGTGCAGAAAATGACGTCGAAGTGGCGGTACAGAGACATAATATTTCGTACACATCTTTGCAGATATATGCTTTTCAGATTCTATGAAAGTTGTAACTCAAGTCTAAACCAATCAGGGAGCTTGTAATAAATGATAAAAATAATATTTAGATTATTTCTTCATGTACATACTTCTCAGACTTTCATAAAATGGACATTTTAATATGAAAGGCAATTCGTCTTCAATATCATTAGAAGAGCAAAGTGTTTAAATTCTTTGGTATCAGATCTATTAGTATTATTATATCTACCAGTTTTATTTTCTAATCGGTGGTTTGATAATCTAATCTTTGTGAGCATTCTCTTATATTTAGCATCAATACGTTTTGTTAAATATGTTTGTAATACAATGTACATATACTGGTAGAATTGTTCTTCTTCAGAAAATGTTAAAAATAAAAAAAAATGTCTATAGATATATCAACCATCCTTTGATCAATTAGTTTATATGTACAATTATGAACAATGTAAGAGTCCCATAAATAGCAAAAACCCAGTAACATTGTACATATAAACTAATTGATTGAATCATTCAGATATATAATGTAAACAAAGTATCTTCTAACCTTCTAATGTAGATATAACAGGTCTACAAACAAACAAAGAGATGCAGATCAGCATCAACATCTTTCCCTGCAAGGGGGAAAAGCGAATAAATAGATGCCTATGGAAAAATATTGATGTACTAGGCTAAATTAAATTTATTGGAGCTACATGTAAAAGGAAATGCGATAAAAGCATTCCTAATTTACATGTTTTGGTATTGTTGACACTACAGGAAATGATAGTAAATAAACATTTCAAGAGCATATTTTAATTCTTGAAGTACCTGTTACATGTACATGTATAAATGAGGTATAACATCACAGATTAGTACAGATTGCACATGTACAAGGCTTAAAAGCTTGTGAAGAGCCAGTTTATATGTATGAACGTGTAAATTCATTGACTAGAGGCTTGGTGTGGAGTTGGAGTCAAATATTGGAGTCGAGAGTTCTTAGAATATTTTCAAGTTATGAAAGAAATATGCATTTTCAAGAAAATAAATCAAAAATATAAAAGTTTTATGTACTTGTTGGCTGTTCTGTATCTTATAACTAAATAGATTGCTAAATTATATTATATGACCTTCTCTAAGAGACAATGTTTTTTAACAGGGTTTTCATTATCTATTATGGAACTGACAATTTATTCAATGTAAAAAAGAATGCTACCAAATAAATTAACACTTTGCTTTTACTTGAAGTGTATTACGGCCCATATATAATTTTGTTATTTTTTAGGGCGAGGGAGTGATAGCTTGTTAGTATGGCAGTCATTGTGTTTCTTTTAATGCAATGACATAAAGAAGTACATGTAAGTGGTACTTCAACTACACCATACTATATACCAATAAAATGTGGTATGTGTGTGCAACTTATTTAAATCTTATATATATATATATATTAAATTTTACATGGTACAATGTAGGATATGAATATGTGAATAATATATATTTTATAAATGGCCATGATCTATGAACCTCAAATCCTTTTATAGAATTGTCAATACAAAAAAAAATCTAGGACTCCAAACTCCAATTCAGTCCCCAGTGCATTCGTTTGCTATTTATTTGTTTGATACGAAATTAAAGTGTCAACACCTCTTAGTAGGTTTGTCCATCTGTTTGGGGTTGGAGTGTAGGATCATATCACCTAGTATAGTTATGCTCTAGAGTAGTGGCATAAAATGTCTTGGCGACATCAATTCTGTTTCATGTTTCATTTTTAACACCTCCTTAAGTTTTAAGCTTAAGAGTGACATTTTCAGATCGTTAAAAAAATAGTTCTTTATTTAACTTTCTGTACTGATAGTATAGACGTTTTTTCATTTGTTTTATTCATTTATTCTCCCAAAAATTATATGAGTGGTAGAGGAGGTACATATATACCCATTTACAATAACTATGGTAGAACAGAAACTACAGGAGGACAGACAGCATAAAAATGTGGCGATAAATATACACAATTTTCTTCCGAATGCAAAATCAGTATTTGTATTCAAATTATAGTACACCCTTTCATTTCATTCAAAATTAATCTATCTATCCACCTCTATCCACCTCTATATCCACCAGTCCCTGTGGTTACGGCAAAGCGTGAAAATAAGGTGTTAGAAATGCAAAGAATTAACTAATAGCAATATAAAATGAAAGTTGTTTAAATCTGTTAAATTTTGTTTCAAATGAAAGGGTCAATGCATGATGATTCAATCAGAAAAGGAATAAAATTGAAGAAAAAAGACAAAATACATGGAAACATTTAAAATGTTATTAAAGAGGCATTGTTTCAGAGACTCACATGAAATCCTTTTGTAAAATAACTGAGTTGGTGAACAAATTGAGCTATTCAAGTGTAGATCAGATCATAATATGCTGAAATATCTTTCGAATTAAGTGTTCGTACAAATATTTTGATGACCATTCAGCTGTTTTAAATCATTTAAATTAGTCCTCAAACTTCTTATCACCCCATGACTTTTATATGTAGGATTATTTAATGATCAAGGTATTTACCCCCCCCCCCTCCAAAAAAAGTGAACTCCAAATAGTTTGAAAAATCAGACCTGATTCACTCCCAAGAGATACATTGCAGTAGTGATGGGAACTTTCTTGCATCTAATAGATTTCTTCTTTCAGCAACAATTACGTCATTTAGAGCATAATTTTTTACGTAGGTGAATTTTAGAAGTTTATTTTTCTTTTGTAATTGATTATCTATTTGCTGCATAAACTTAATTTCATGACAATAAATCTTGAAGTTGTGAATTTTAATCAAATATGATGGCGCATGATATTGGTTAAAAAAACCAATAAAATATATTTAATCAAAATGAATGCCTGTTTTCTGAAACACCCTGTATACCTGGCAGGTCGTTAAAATAAACAGCATATCTTTTGTGTTCACCCTATATTCACTTAAACGGAAGCCCAATAGTGCAAACGAAATTATTAAATAAAAAACGAAATTAATATAAAAATGCAAACGAAATTATTCAATAAAGAAAAACAAAATTAAGACATGAATGCAAACGGAATTATTAAATAAACAAAAACGAAAATGATATATAAAGAAAATAAAATTAATAAAAGTATAGAAAAACTAAAACTAAGATACGGAATTTATAGATGTGCACAGGAAGGGTCTGAACCCCTAAATCGTATGTGCACCGCGTATGATAGATTTTGTTTCGACAATAAACAAGCGAGAGGTTTGCCTTTACATTCACCCTTTCCTATATCGAAAACATATCCATTACAGAAAATGGATTGGGAGAATTTAACCTTTGATATCTAATTGCAATTATTTAAGAAAATATGAACGTTAAGATTCCGTCGTTTACAACTCGTATTGTTGAATTTTTAACATTCAGGAAATTCCCTTATCCATTATTCAACTATCGCACAATACATTCAGTTGAAAATGCTGTAAAATAATTCGTTATCGATCGGACGTGGGTTTGTTTGACATTATAAAAAATGTTTAAAGAAAACATTTGCAAAAAGTAAAACAAGTCAAAGTGGTTACAAGAAGTAGATTTTAATGATTGCTTACTATATAAAAAATAAAGCATATCACCTTCAGTTGATTCTTTTGTCTTATCAACGCATAATTAGAGGTGATGTACTGGCTACTAGTACTTGTTCTCACATATTATAAATGTCCAACTCTCAATCTGTACTATTTATAAGTCAGTGGTATTATATTATATAGTTCTTGTTCTCATATATTTTAAATGACAAACTCTCAATTTTGTATTTATAAGTCGGTGATATTTGTGAAATAATGCACACTCTTGTGAACAACAAATTCCACAAAGTAATCAAATCATTATTCTTTTTCAGTTTCAAAAATTTAAGATTTATTGGTACACAGATCGGACGCTAGTTTAAGTTCGTGGAGATACGCAAGGTCTTGACCTTTCAGCGATTCAAGCGCTGTTTTGAATTGGATGTCATTAATTTTAATCAAGCAGAAACGCCACCCTCATGATCCTCTGTGCATAATGCCACACATCAACAAATTATGTATACCGTTAAACAATCATCGACATTTACTTCAAACATTAGATTGAAGTATTTGTTTCAGTTGATATTTTCTCTTTCTCCCTCACTCTCCTTTTTGTTTAATAATTTCGTTTTTCTTTTTTTTAATAATTTTGTTTTTCTATATTCAATAATTTCGTTCTTTTTATTTCGGTTTTCTTTATTTAATAATTTCTTTTGGCTTTATATATTAATTTCGTATTTCTTTATTTAATAATTTCGTTTGGCTTTATAATCAATTTCATTTTTCTTTATTTAATAATTTCGCTTGCATTCATTTCTTAATTTTGTTTTTCTTTATTATTGAATAATTTCGTTTGCATTTATATATTAATTTCGTTTTTCTTTATATATTTTTGGTTTGCACTATTGGGCTTCCGTACACTTACGTGATCTTTAAAATGTAAACTACCTGCCTACGCATTCTTATGCTTAATGGAGGACTCGTATGGTTTGCATTATTCATTATTTATTAATATATAATCAATAAGACATTTTTTTAGCGAGATAAGATTTTTAAAAGATGATTCTTGGATTTGCTGGTCATTGATTTAAATGAAGGTGTATTTACAAAAAAGTTTATCTACTTTCGTTTTCGTCTGACATTGAATCATATTTAAGCCATAAAACGTCAATCAAAAAAGAAATCTTTAAATTAATTGATATTTTAAAATAAAGAAGGACCCATATCCATATCCTGGAAATTGACATTCATGACATTGATGATATATTTGTGAAAATATCAGCAGTTTGTGAAATCACTCCTCAAAATATGATCTTGGGTCTGTGTCAACTGTAATTTAAGAAGAAGAACGAATATAAATCAATGTTGACTTTTCCATTTGAACGAAACAAGAAGGGTGGTTTGAGCACTGGGAATATGGTAATTTGATAAAAACAACGTATGGCATCTTATATTATAAAGAGGGTCGAAGTTTCTCAATTGCAGGTCAAACTCCAAGGTCAAAATCAAAAGGTCAAAATTATTGGTATTGACACTAGGACACAAATATAATAAGCTATATATAGTGATAATAACTGCTCAAAAGTTATAGCCAAGGTTAAAGTTATTTTAATGTGATAAAACTCTAAGGTCAAGGTCAAAAATAATTTATACCCCATTGAATTTTTTTTACATGGAATACACAGGTAAAATATAATGACCCTAGCAAAACTTTTCAAAAGTTATCAATGGCCAAAGTTGAAGTTTGGAAATTTGTTGTAAAACGTAATAGTGGAACAAACTGGTACCTTAAGAAAACATGATGTAAAATGAAATCCATAGCCCCATCCACTCAAAAGTTTTGGACAAGGTTTAAGTTTCATTACAATTGTAAAAAATTGTTACATTATTATGCATACGCAATGTTCCTCCTAGGCCCTTGATTTCACCTCTGGGATTATCGGAGTTTGTTTATTATGCCCAGTTTATAAATATGCATAGTTTGTAATTTTTGAGATACAACACTGTAGTACACATAGATCATTGTGATTATCTTTATATTTGAAAATTAACTGTAATTTCAATTTAGCCATTTTATTTGTGGATGTTTTTAGGGATTGAAGGGGCTCACGTAGGGTATTCAATGTTCACCTGAAATATATCTTTTTTCATGAGTAACTGGAATAAAGTAAGAAATATAAATTCAAATCGGAATTGAAATAAGAATAAAAAATCTTTGAAAATATGCATGAAACTCAAATAACTAACAAAATAGCAGTAGAATTTAATTATTGTCATTGTGATGGTGTTAATGGTTTTTAGTGTATTCATTTTTGTATTCTTTCTAGCTTAGACAATCTACACTGAAAATGGAGCGAAAAGCATTGAAGTCCATTTCACTTTTTATTGTTTTTAATATACTTCCTGTAAGTATTTGTTTTACTTAACATAAAGTAATATTTCAATACCAAATCTTTCCAAAAATCAAAAGAGAGATAAATATTCTTTAAAATAACATTTCCCTATAAATAAATTCAAATTGCTTTTTAAATTCATATTTTACATTTTTACTATGTTTTTACAACAAGATTACATATTAACAAAATTTTAAAAACAAAAATTATTGACCACAGACAATTAATGTTACTTTTGGATCCTAGCTAGTGAGATATGTCTTTCAAAATACTGATGGATAACAAGCTTACCGCATTATGGTTAGGAATACACAAAATTAATGTATTTTATTTTTATTTTTTTTTTAAGATTTGCATACAATAATTGCTAGAAAAATTTGCAAATTTCCCAAGAAAGCGTTACATTTCATTACATTTTCAAAATTGAATTTTGAAATTTTCCTAAATCTCTTTTGAAAAAATTGAAATGTATGTTATACTTTCAAATGCAACATTTCTTTACAGCATGCTATCATATGTGATCGCTACTGCGAATGGTCCAAGAAATCAATGACGATAGCAAACAGTTGCCCAACAAATAAGGCCGACTTCCAAACAGCATCAAAAACTAAAAACTGCGAGTCAATGGCCGAAAAACAAAACTGCACGGAAAAATCTAAATTCAAATATCACTGCCTCATAAATGAATTAGAGGAAGTGATGGTGGAAGTATGCGCTCCTGAATTTTATATCCAAGGTATACACAATTACATTTACGATGTATTGATTGTTAAAACAATAATTTTTTTTTCATTTACACTAAAGTAATTATTTTTTCAATATAAGGATACTGTACAGAATATAATATAAATGGTGCCAGAATCCAAGATCATCTTTATTTGAGAAATGGAAGTATAGCAGTTCCCTTCACGAGTCGCTATATATCAACTGATGCTTATAAATGTAAGGCAGACCGACCACTCAGTCACTAATCTTCTGATATTAAAAAGTTACTCTTCTCAAATAGATTTGAAAAAAATTAAAGAGATAAAAATTATTAGATGCTGTATGCATAAGGTAAAACGGATAAATGTAAGTTTATTAGTATTGCTAAAAATCACAATTATATAAAGCATTTCTTGCTAAATTGTGATCTAATTATATCAAGGATACATTTTCAAACAAGAAATTCATTCATTACAGCACAGCCATGCATGCAGTCATAGCAATGTTATGATAACATTATCATATTGGTTAAAAAAATCCTTAAATACTTATTTTGATGAGACTTCCAGTGACCACTAGGTCAGGTTGTATTTTTTTTGTTAAGCAACATGTCTCATACTACAAAATAATCAGAGTATCATCGTGTTATAGTCAAAGCTGCTGTACTGTTTCAAACATCTTGTGTTAAATTGCTGTTCCTATTTTTTTTTTTACATATGCATGTCTCATACAAAGTTGCAAGCCATTTACTAATTGCTATTCAATTGTCGCGTTAAAGAAGGTTTTTTATGTTCTATTATTTTTTATTTTTAGATTCAAATTGCTATTCACTGGTCTCGCATACGAACAGCTTCACATCCATCTCAACATTTATCCAAACAACTGTCAAATCATCCAATTCGTCAAATGAAATGCCAATAGAAAATGAAATGCCAAAAGACAAAGATATTACTCCAATGTTTGTAAAATATATTGTGAATAACTTTCTTATTTACTTAAGATTACTTTATCAGACAAAAATTCTATTTTCTATTTCAGGGCATTGGTTATACCTATTGTCATAGTAATTCTAATTTTTCTTGGCGCAATTATATTTTACCTCTACAAACATTGTGAGTACATTTATGAATAGTTTCTTTTTAATAAAGGAAGTATTAAAAATTCAAGTGATACTAAATTTAGTAAACCCTTTATTTCGTCCAAGTTGGGATAAAACGTCAAAGCGGTTATGTTTTTTTATTACAGCAGCAAAGAAAAGGATGGCAAAAAATACCACATCAAAACATGAACGTACGTATTCCACCACTGTGTTTAATTTTCAAATGTAGTTAATGTAATATATACCAAAAGAGTCAACTAATGGAGATATATATAACAAACTTAAAAAAATGATTGCACCATTTTTTCACACCCATGAAGATGTAAATATGTTGGAAACTATGAATAGTTTTTATACATGTAGTGTATTGAAGATGCGACATTTTGACTATTAAATAGATACTCTGTATTTTTCTAAGGTGAAAGTAATAATATACGATGATATAAACCTACATAATCAAAGATCATTACATGCACAAGACAATTGTTATTTTTTCTGAAAGACTGTTGTGTCACATTGAAAAATGTTTTCAATTTTGAGAATGCAAGATGTTCTTTATCTGCCGCCAATGCGAATGTTTTCTTACTTTCTTTTTTTTCAATCATAGATATAACTAGAAGTCTCAATGTCTCCGAAAGGTTTTTTTTTATCAAAATACTTTAAACATCCCTAAATGGTGGGAATTTATTTAAAAACGTGAAATAATCAGACAAACTAATATTTAATCATAAATTTCACAAAAAAGAAAAGACAATCTCTTGAATCTATCGACGTTGAAAAAATTATGGATCATGTTTTTTTTAAAGAGTTTTAAACAAACATTAGAATCATTCAGTGACCTGAAAAAATTAAAGCTTCTTTAAAGCAACATACTGTATATAGGGTTATTTTCGCCCTTTCACACTTGCAGACATATTTTGCCCCGTTTTAAATTGACCCTGTCATCGTTGTACTTAAGAAGTTATAATGTATCCTTAGAATTCGCCCATTTTATATTATCCCAAATGAGGGAAGGGTGAAAGGGGCGAAACTAAAACGGGGCGAAAATTTTCCTGATTACACTATTTCGGATAAATGTTTTCAATTCAGCAGTTTTTCGCTTTAATACATTTCAATATAAATGCAATAATCCAATTTCCTTTTATTCGGATAAATGTTTTCAATTCAGTAGTTTTTTGCTTTCGGATAAATGTTTTCAATTCAGTAGTTTTTCGCTTTAATACATTTCAATATAAATGCAATAATCCAATTTCCTTTTATTCAAAGAAAGTTATTTTTCATATTCACTAGGTCATGCAATATAATAAGAGTTTAATGTGCCTTCTGAATTATTTATATAATTGGAAATTCTTGAGAGAAGTTGTATTGGGTAGTGGAGTACTAGGGTAAAATATATTATGTTTAAGATCTTTCTACAAATAACTGGTTGCTGAATTTTAGTATTGACAATGAATTTGAATGTAATCGCCTTTTTGACTTCCATGGATATAATTAATAAAACTATATTTTGATAGCTGAAGAGGAAACACACCTAATGGATCCTACAAATATTAGTAAGTATTAAGAAATAGATTGTTTGATGACATGGGATGTATACACATTCCTCTGATTCATGCGACTAATTAAGATCTTGTAAAATTGTAACTATCAGATAACTTAACTATATCTATACAAAAGACTACAAATAATGTTTTATCTTTGAAAATATTAATGTTTTTGTACCATGGTACAAGTATGTCAAGGCGACATGACCTCGAATATGACTTTATTTTTCACCTGAGTGTAACCAAGAAAAATTCTTTTGTGATTAGCATTAGACACCCCCAAAATCCCCTTAATTCGGTTACGTGATGTGCAATTTTACCTCAGTCTCTGAGTTCCATAAAATTTTATTGTAAATTTATTGAGTGTCCAAACAATGAAGGACCAAAAAGGGGGCGCGATTTTATTTTCCCATTATTCTATAAAGTTCTGCTCCTGAAAAAAAAAAATTGGTATAGACCTCGAAATTGTTTGAACTGGCTACAGAGAAATTACATGCAACCATAATACTTGTATTACTTTTTCTTTGCCAAAAGAGATTTAGAGAAATGAGAGATGCACAGTTTATATCGATTTGATGTCATTCACGTCAAAGACGTTGACCATATTAAACACAAACGCTATTCGGATATAATCAAGCACAGACTATATTTTATAAATTATATTGCCTCAGTTCAAGAACGTTTTGATTTCCCCTAGTATACTACTTACATTTGCTGTTGTCTTTTCTTATATGACAATTCTATTTAAACTGAAATTCAATTTTCAATGAAATGAAGTTGGTCACAATATAAGACTCTCTGTGTATGGAAAGCAAACTGTACATTAAATATGGATAGCCCTGATTGTGCTGTCACATAACGTCGTAGATACCTTTTTTCATTTGCATTTCGATAGCAAAATATAAAAAGTCCCTTTTTGAATAGCACAAATACGAGTAGAATATGAATATAAGAGAATCAATATGATATTATTATTTAGAGTTTCATTGGAATAAAACATTAAGTTAGAACGTGTGATCAAATCTTCTAGAATATTTTCACGTGACCGACTTCATGGTATAATCCTCCCAAAAAAACCTCTAAAAATGATATATGTCATCAACGTGATCTATTTCTTAAAACGAGGATTATTTTATTAATTTACTATGTGCAGATATAAAATTTGCAATGATTTCCTACTTTTTTTACAAATTGAAAAACTGCATTAGGTGAAGAGAAATATATTATCATCTACGATTTAAGGTGCAATATCCCTCCAATAAGAGAAGATATTTTCCCATGGAATTCAAAGAATTGTCAATTGTCATTTCATATTTTACCTTACCAAGGACCATTTTATAATAAAAAATAAATAGATTTGTGCGATCGTGCAGATGTTTATTTCTAATCTCTATTGTCAAATTTCGGTAATTATTTATAGTAGTTTACCTCAAACGTTTATATTCAGTTCCTTTAATGGCGTAAATTGACATATTTCTGTCTCTTAATGTATAAGAAATTTTATTTTTACAGTAATTTCATGCAAAAATAGATGCAAAAATGTTTATGAACATTTAATTAATAATTTGTTTCACTAAAATATTTTCAAGGGCCAATATATTAACATAACTCTGGTATGAATTCCTATTATTTTACGAGCACAAAACAATTTGATCTTCTGATTGAAAAAGCAACGGTTAGATATGTATTCTAATGAGAATTAGATAGGTGTGAGAGTAAATATCATTTTCATATATACCTCATACTTTTTATTTTAGTGTGAAATAAAAAAATTATTGTTCTTTTATTTACCTATTTGATCTTTTTCACATTATGATTGACAAATATTCATTTCTGGAATAAATAAGCAACGGTTCACACTCCAAACTAAAGAAAATCAATCCTTGGAATTTAAAAAAGATTGGTGCATTTTGGAGAAGAGGGATGTTTCACCTTAACTGTTGCGAAATTTTAGCATTGATAAGATTAAGGTATCGATGCAAATTTGTCAGAAAGATGATTTGCAAACGCTTTGTGACAAATATGAATATAATCAAAACATTATTGTAAAAGCTAAATCGAAGTCATCTTTTCATACATATTTTGGTATTTATTACCATATATTGTTCATTCGTCCTGATTCCTTCTGAGATTAGAGATATTCTTTTATTAATCCTGGCTATTTTCTTTGTAGAGGTGCTACCTGAAACACTTGATTCGTCTAGTAAGTCTGATGTATATTCTCATATACACATATTTCATTAAAACACGAAAAGAAAACGTTTTCGTTAAAAAGTTTCTTTTTGCCACCTTTGTATATATGCAAAGAAAAAGGATGTTTTGCTACGATGTCATATTTTGTTAGTTTTACCATGATAATAAAAATACCTGCAAAATATACAATAATATCATTTATATTATAAAACTAACGTGGCTGCCGTCTTGACAAATTGATAAGAGCGTGAGAGCCGTTCCCAGGAAGTCCGTTTGATATAATGAAACATTCTCGAAAGGGGCGTAAAGAAATAAACATGCAGTAAAGTCAAACAACGTTAAAACAAACTATTTGGTTTGATTCCAGGTACCATTTCCACCGACTCAGCTACAGATTTATATATTGGTAAGATGAAAACTTATATCATAAATCATCGAAATTAAAGTACTAATATTACAATCTAAGTATATTCCTAAGTTTCATTTTTATGAAACACTCTTTGTTTAACGTTAATATGAGTTCTAGAATAGGGTTAATTTTTGAATCATTTTAGCATCAATCAGGGGTGATCTTCTGAAGAAGATATCCAGAGGAAATGAATCAGGTAGGTTTCAAACTAGGTATGAGTAAAGCTTCAAGTATTTTTTCTATGTTGAAATTATAAAAAGAAAATATTTCTTATTAATTCATACAGCCATTAAATTTAGATAAGATAATTTTTATGTTTGAATGAATAGATAAAAAAAAATATTTTAAAAAATGAAAAAAAGTACATTTCTTTACTTATGAAGTATCCAAGTAATACAAATTTACATTGAAAAAGAAAAAAAAACACTTGTCAGACTTCTTAAATATCAGAGGTGAAATCAGGTTCAATGGAGAAGTGAGCATCCCCTGCCAAGCGGTCACATCCGCTGTATTTCCTTGTCATGATGTGGAAATAATGAATAAGTGAATAATCCGTCGAAAATTCAGTTTGCATATAATGATCCATCAATAAGTACGAGAAACAATAGTCAGCACTTGACTTAATGATGAATTGTATTTGCTGACTGGGTCATTGTATCATAACATTCAGCAAATAAGTTGTAAAAAAAAGTTCAAAGACAAACTGCTAAAGTGAATTTCTCTATTCAGTGATTTTAAAAACTCGAAATAAAACAATTATGAAATAATCTCCGACTGTTGGTTGCCTTCAATAGACTTAATAGCAAATGGGTCATTTATGAAAGAATCAATGTTTTGATTACCACTTTGCATCCTGTCGTTCACTGGATTCTGTGAAATACTGAATTTGGAAGCTTTTACGTCTGTGACACTTTTTTCGTCCTTAAACTCGTGTCATATATGTGTGCTATTTTTGGAATTTACAAGATGATCCTGAATGGGCAAAACAGGAGCCAAAAAGTTATTATTTTTAATGAAAATAAGTTAACGCAGCAGCTTAATCATATATTGGAAAATGATTGGTGACGTCCTACAGATGTGCAAACAGGTTTCGGAATTTAACTTTTAGGGTCTTTTCAAATAGGGATCGAAATATGGCAATTTATATACAATGCACCCTACTTCCAAGAACTCCTCTTACATTTTATACAATAGTCTAAGCATCTTTTGGAAGATAATTGGTGTTGCTTTGTATAGATTAGCAATAATATATTAGAAGTATTATTTTTTTTATACAAATAAAACCTTGTTTCCCCAATAATTTCTAAAGTAGCCAAACCACCTTTCGTTATATGTTTGATAGTGTCCTGTTTATATATAATAATGTAACGGAATTTTCATTTTTAACCGGGGGTCAAATGGAAATTGTAAAGTATTTAAGTAAAGAACTTATAATTTTTCTGTCAAAATACCAAAACAGCATTGGGTCTTTAGATTTAATTCAAAGAAGTTTAAATGTTACCATAAACAGGGGGCAGGGAAGGACCCCTAGGGACGTTTATCAATGTATGACTTGCATGCAGCATCCAATAACGTGATCTTTGGCCTTCTGTTTTAAAAATATTTTATTGACAATATGTCAAATGGATTCGACACAAGTTCCAAAAATTTAGATGCTAGTAGTCCTCTCTTAGGCCAATTATAATACAGGTACATAGCCTAACCACTTTCATTTTACATTCTTTTACCCCATTCTATACCTTGGACTTTCCACCTGTCAAATGTACTGCCAACTTCATTAAATATGATCCAATTATCAGTTTATTTATTTTAAAAAATTGACAAGTGAAGTAACTCCAACAGATATAATGATGTAGACAATGATGTGTAGACAATATTCAATCGATTGATTGATTGATTGTATAGTTTTTAACGTCCCTCTCCAGAATATTTCACTGATATGGAGACGTCACCATTGCCAGTGAAGGGCTGCACATTTTGGCCTATGCTCGGCACTCAGGGTCATTGAGCAGGGAGGGATCTTTATCGTGCCACACCTGCTGTGACAAGGGGCCTCGGTTTATACGGTCTCGTCCGAAGAACCGCCCCATTAAGTCGCTTTTTACGACAAGCAAGGGATACTGAGGGCCTATTCTAACCCGGATCCCCACGGGGTATGTTCAATCGAAAAATGATGATTGTAAAACTGGTACTACAATGTACATGTAGTAGGATACTCAAGGTCTGTATCAAAATATTTAATGTTTTTACATAACTCGCCCACTAAGACTTTTGGACTTGTGATTTTGTATTATTATTTTTTTATTATTATTTATTTTAGCACAACATATCAAAAAATTTAAGTGGGCGACGGCTCTGAACACTATTTTCTAAAGAAAAAAAAATGTCCTTGAAATTGGTTGATTTGAATTATTTTCT